CGATAAGATTTCCCTACATTGTGCTGTAACACTTTTAAAACACACGAATGCAGAGAGTTTGTAAAGAAATAAAGTACAGTATAAAAAGGGTTTAGATCGAAAGGTGAAAATGCCGAGGGAGCTTTAGTTTATCTTCTCAAGATCATATCTTTTTTGTTTGCGTTTCTATGTTAATCTTTTGTCCTGGTCTATATTTGTAGCGATCATTCATGGCTTCCGAGAGATTCCTATTTTCATTCTGCAGTAACTTTTGGCGTCATTCAACTGTTTTTGATAAATATTTAATTCGCAATCAACGTTCTATAAACGTACAAGTATTTTCATGTACCCCCTGTATACACAAACGAGCACACACGCGACACGAGAACTACACTGGTTTGGTAAATATACCTCGATGTTATTTATCTCCAAAACTAAACATAATAGTTTACGGGCCTCACGGACGGTAAAATAACTGAGGAAACAAAGTTACATGTATGCATTCGTGGTCAGATGAAGGCCGCATATGTTTTCAAAACAATCTCTGAATGCTTACACAGCTTGCGGTTCCGTCCGCTCGTCCCAATCTCTTACTCATTTCCTTCGCACAATGGCGGCCGACCAAACCGAAATTTCCGGGTTGCCTGTGCCGAAAAATACTGGCAGACTGTGCATCCCTTGCGCGCGAAAACAATCCAGTTTTGCCGTTGAAGTTGTGTTAGGGAATTTCGGACCAAATGTGTATTCAAAAAGCGTTCTTTCAAAATTAAAGGCTCTTTGGTTAAGATTTTACCTCAGGATATACCTTGTCACGCAATATCCAAAACATTAGACATGTCTCTCTTACATTTCGAAGCACTTATGCCTCTTCCCTATATCCTTTTTTACACTTGAGTACAAAACACGACATTATATCCGAATGCTTTCTCCATGCACGTGTACAAATGCAATCTTTACGGCGGGTAGTCCGCACTAGGCCTCATGCAATACATGATAATTAACATCTAAATTCAGACCTCAATTTGCGAGCAGGTACCACTGTTATTTTTGTATGCAATAATTATCTGGGAATAAATTTGATTTAAAAAAGATCAAACTCACTCACGAAGCTCAACATTATAGTTTAGTAAACTGTATATTAAACTGTCATATAGGTTGCACGATAGCCACATGCTTTAGAAAATAAAGCCTTGTGTATTTTTCATGTTTCATTTTTCCCCTTCAATATATGTCAGCTGATTATTTAAATTGGTTCTTAGAAAAAAAAACACAAAACAACATTTACAATACTACATTATGCATGATATATTTTTCTTTTCGTAAATAGATCTTAAAAACCACTTTAGACATAGCGCTATGTTCCTTCAATAGGTGACCGTGAAAATGCATTACTACAAACATTATATAATATAGCTCTAATAAGATTAACTTTCATTATTCATGAATAATATTCGTTTCCATGGAATGGTCATAAAAAACGCCATGTTATTTCTCGTGTATTCACAGTAAATGCATTGTAATTAAAAAGAGATAAGATTTTTTTCCTACACGATAAGATTATTCAAAGCGAAAGGAAAGGTCTTTGTTATTTTTGTAAGAAATATATAGATAGTTATTTTTAAAACATGTGTGTTTACGAATTCATTGGTTTTTCTTAATGTGCAAAAAAGGTTGTGGTTGGAAAGGGAGGGCTTAAAAAATGTCGGAATTGGGGAAGATTTAACATTAAAACAATGATATCCCATATCAAATTATTGCAGTGAAGAATACACTATACTGGACATTTCTTTAACTTTTCCATGCGGTCTCTTGCCCTTAAAAGTTTATGCAGTGTGTTAAAGGAAGGCCTAAAAGCATTTTCATGACACTGACATATGTTAACGGTCTTCTCTAGGTAAAAAAATTTTGGTTTGAGAATTATAATAGAACGGGTGTTATCTTGAACCGATGGACAAAGAACATCGCAAAATATCTGCGGAGGCGGTGAAATGATGTTGTTATAAATATATACCCAAGCAGGTATTACTTGTAATGTTTATAAAGATGATGTCTCTTATAACATAAAGTTTCATCGCTGCATGAAATAAACACATTGAGATAAAATTTAAAGATCGCATCTAAAGACACTTGAATATCGTGGAATACAAAAGATGTGAGCACCTGTCCCATTCTGTGTAGATATATATAAATATATAGGATTTTTTAAAATCGCACACGGATGAAACTTTTCAGTTGTAAATTTTCAGTGCTCAAAAACGAGTCAGAGTACCGTGGCCCAACTATAAACACGTATCAGTTAATAAGTTTATTAAATCGTCTATATAAAGTAATATATTGTCGTAGAAACTGTGAATGTTCGCCTTGGCAAGTTGCCTATAGGACTGAACATTAAATACAACGAGTCAAAAAGATTTCTTTGTGTTGAAAAAGAACTTTAAACATAGGTAAACAAGAAAGAAGCTATCGTTATAAAGTAATTTGTAGCCATTGGTAAAGTACTTTGTACGAAACACTTTCAATGACTTTGTTATATGCACTTATGTAATCCAATAACAAAGTCAGGTCACGAACACACTATATTACGTATTATCAAAACGTAAATAATATAGAAACTCGTGTTATTATGCGAAGAACAAAATGGAACATGATTCGAGAGTGTTGATGTTAATCCCCCGGCCGGTTATTCCCATGTTTAACAATATATTTTGCATGTTACTGGTACACAAACGATGTTGTCAAACGTGCATAACAATATAATGAGTTACGAGCTCTTTTTTGCCATAAATATCTAGTATAATTACAGCTTAATACAAAGAAAAAAAACTCTCCAAGTCATGCCTTAAAGGACATATACAATGAATAATGAACTTTCTACGCTACACCTATTTTTAAAAGCGTATATACGTGAGACCGATCGGTTTGTTTTCTAACCAATGTTTACATTAAAATTTGCTTGTAAATTTAAAAACTAGAAACCACGAGATATTATCATCTGATTACCAAAAACCACGAAAAACGCTTTTGTTCTGCTGATATACCACACGGGTTTTAGCACAAAGTTGACCAAAAAAAAAACGGCGGAGAATTTTATAACAAAAAATTGACTATGCCGGTTGTTTCATTATACGCAATTATTCGCCTCAATTTTCTGTCATTATAATCTGAACAAGACCGTATATTGCCCATGCATATTGCACAAATAAGTAAGAGTATTTAAGCTATCTAGTTCATGTGATTATCAAAATAAACATCGAAAACGAACACTTTTATCGATCTGCAAACAGTGGAGTTTTGTTTTGGTGCATTCGGTGTTAAAGTACACTGGAAACATCATGTTTTTTTATGTATACACATCGAGTATCACAATCGGCACTTGTTTCAAAACTATTGCAGTTCTAGCCTTATGTTTTAGCTATATGCACAGAAGTCTCAGAAAGTTTTAGCATTAACAAGAAAAGTGTTTGTTTTCATCAAATTAGGCCTAACGATTGTTCCGCGAGCGCTGTCAGTTTGCGACGTTCTAATTCGCAGGGAAGAAATACATTGCGACATTAAATGTATCAAACGTGGGAATTTTTCCCATCGTGGGAATTCGAACAAATTTAGGTAAATTCTATTGTAATTGCTACATTTCAAAGTCACGCGAGCCCGGCAACTTTAATAAAACATACATCAAAGGTCGTTAGGGCCAGAAACACAAAGCAATTTGTAGCAATTAGGGCGATTTAGCCAGGCAAAGAAAAGTCGTGTCATTGCTCGGCGTGTGAGACGCGCATTACACTGCTAAAATACGCGCTGGCATTTTTGAAAACCCTTCATAATAGGTTAGGGGCAAGACAGTAATTTCTAATCACTCTGACCCCAAAGGATCGAATAACGTTCAGCGATTTAAAGAGGATCAAGCTTTACTCGTCAATTTTTTGACAAGAATCTGGCAAATGTTATGCTATGTTGATCTCGTTTGGCTTCAAGAAAGTCTCCAATGTGATGTTTTTCTTGCACGCTCAAATTGTCTGATATATATTAATCCGATAAACTTCAGGCCGGATTACTACCTGAGGAATGGACTCAAGTGTCAGATTTGAGATAAAACCGAGAAGCATTCCCTGACGAAATTTCGAGGCTAGGGGCCAAGTAGATTAACTATACCACGCAACGCATACTCTTATTGTTCCCCCTGTACTGGCGAAAAGTGCGTAGCGACATTTATTCGCCTACATCCCCTTCGTAAAATAGTATTTAGGCTTCATTATATCCCTCTGGAATAGTCCGATGGATCTTTGCTTACTTAAATCAACGAGCCGACAGGAAACTAAAGAATTTTGTCACCTTTTAAAGCTATGCCTGAAAGGAACATCCTACGAACTTGGCAAATATACAGTTTTGAATTCGCTGCGGCAGAAAGTCATAATTATATAATGCGGGTTAAATTCAGTCTTGTACAACTACAAAATGCTTAAGTATGGGCCTACATAAATTGTATAATTATAACGCATGTCCTAGCCACGCAATCTAGCTGTAGTATGGGATTACTGCATAGTTTCAAAATGATTATGAATATTATTGAAATAAGGCCGATATACACAATTATTACTGTATATATGTTACAGGCTTTCGAAACTATAGTCTATACGTCATATGTTTTTCTTTTGAAATGATTTATACGCAGGCTATAATCTTAATATATTACAGCATGATACATTGTGCTTCTCTCAACGAAAAAAATAGAATTCAAAAAATCTACTTCTATAAAATATGGAAATCAAATAGTATAAGGGTTGTAGTGAAGCGTGCTTGTGAGATTGCCCCCACGTTTCACACAAAATTCATTACGAATTACCGAGATTTATAGTTATTGTACGAAGCTAATACAATACGTTCATGCATGTACAATAATAGCATGGAAATGGTAAGCTTCCATCTTTGCGTAAACCTTACAAAACACTTCCATGTGATTCTTGCATCGTTTACACAAAAAACATATGATATGCGATGTAATATTCCTGAATATTTGTACTTACATGTGAAGCTCACGTCAAATTTCTCGCTGAACAACACACCCGCAGTGTTGCTGGCTACACAACGAAATATGCCAACACGATGAACTCCTGACGACCTCGTTCGTTGAACGTCGTTCGTGAACCATAACCCGTTGCTGGACGCGTTTATTACAACAGGCGAATTCAAAACACTTTCGTTCCTCCAATCTATAGTCAATGGCTGTATACCAGTCGCTTCGCACGGTACAAAAACCGAGAGATTATGTGGTATATAAATTTTGGAGTCCGGCTGTCTTGTAAATGTTAGCACATCACCGCTTATTGTGGGAATCAGGCCTGTATAAAACACATATACACACAAGTTAGGAAATAACTATAAGAAATAGGGTGCTGTAGTTATTGTTGTGAAACATATTTTGATTCATACTTCCGAGCTACGTTTAATAGAGATTTTCTTAATTCTCCTGCAACGCTGCACAATACATTGCAAAGCCATCCAAATCGCTTAAAATCATTTTATCAGCTAAACTAGTATCATTAGGACATTTCCTTACTAAATACTAGATTTTTAATATTGTGTTACGTTCTCCTTTTCGTTAATGCGCACGAGTTGTCTATTTTGTTGACTCAAAAAACGACATAAACAACATTAGGTGAACATAAAGCTTTGCGAAGATCTAAAACAATAACATGACATAAAGTGGAATTGTCACGCTCTTATGTTGCCGCGAAATCATTGTATCACTAAATCACGCAATTTAACGAGTCTCTTGCCTCACACAGTACGCGTTTTCATCCTAAGATAAACCCGAAAACATAATGTGTTCAAACAGTTTCAAAGAACTGTCAAAAATCACGATTTATAGCATATTCCAACACACTATGTAGCGTATTTTGTCGACTTAACTATGCACGGTATACAATGTAAACACACAATATACTCACTAACACATATCCCTAAATTATCGAAACCCGAAAGGTCATTGGGTTCGATTGAAGTTCGTAGAAGCCAAGAAATGTTCTATTTGTTGTGGATTTCACACATAGTTCGATCTCAAATCGAGTAGAGACGAAAAGAATGTCGCAAAATGCACAAATTTTGGCCCAGCAGAACCTTTGCTTGCGGTTCGTGAGACGGGATTGGAGTCCGATCGATACAAATCATAAAATGACTGTGTTTCACTCGAATCGCTGCATACAAGCGAATACATTGCTTTCTCCGCCCCATTACAACTGTATAAAGTTGTAACGATTCTTTACAACATTATAATTTAAAAAAGGAAGCGGCAGAACTAGAATTTCTCACTTGAAACATTGTAGAATTCTCACAGTACGGAAAGTGTATTTATAGCAATATGCTTACCTTTGATTAGGGTAAAACACATGAGTAAATGAAGCTGAAAAACAGCCAAACATGTCCAATGCATGTTATCTGTAGTTAAGATAGAATGCTATACAACGCTGTCTGTAAATATGTTCAAACATCAACGATTCCTCAAGTCAGACTAAAAGCTCTCCTTGCTCTTCCATTCCTAAATGTTGATTTCGAGTGATGACAGATAATATGAAGACATGTAAACTTGAGTTATCTTGACCAATGAGCGACGAGTATTCCTCCCACATGCAGGATCTAGCCAATCACAGCGCGCTGGTTCCTACCGAGAGTATTCAAGAGCTTGTGCGTAATCAATAGCTGACGAGAAGAGAAAGCACTATGCCTCTCTGAACAACAACCGCCTTATAGAGTTGCACGCTGTGACAAACCTAAAATAAAACAAAACCCACAAAGTGCTCGGATTATCCAACAGCTTAGAATTCCCTCGTTTTATTAAAGCTTTATGAAAACAAGACTCCTGAGCTAAGCCGCGCTCCGCATTTTCGCTCTTACCATAGCGACGGGAAATCGATGGCGAATTTATCTTCGGCCCCCGGAAATGTTGGCTTGATATAGTTGGCAAAAACATGATCATACATCGGAAACCCTAAGGCAAAGTCTTAATTATGACCTGGTCACTAACGCAGGGGGGACGCAGCTTTGAAATCTCAATATCAAATTGTAAAAACTAGCATGACTTTATGAGATGCGTGAATGAAAAGCAGGAAAAAGGACCGTCACACACACAAAGAAGCCCAAACATATTTCAACCAGTTTGACAAGGACTTAAAATAGCCGTAAGAAGTCGGATGTTCGCGTTTGAATAAGTACAGATATAGACAGCGATGTGAAGTAGTGTTTTGTTTTCAAACCTCAGCCTTATCTCGAGTCATTTTGCATGATGATCGTCATGTTTTTCATACTGACATGCATGATCACTTCTTTAAAGTTTAATTCTCCATTCACTTTTCTGAACTTTTAGCAAAGCACGTCTTACACTTGCAACTCTCTTTCTGGACTTTTTATTTCACTACTGGCGGGCAGAAGATAAATTCTTCAATATACTGTCATAGCTTTGATGTTATGTAATGAAGTGTTGATTATTGTACACGGTTGTGTAATGTATTATTGTACATAGTTGTGTAATGATTCTTTGGTTACTTAAAAACGAAATATTAGCTAAGAAACAGCTCTATACGGCGTTGGCAACGTATAATATTCCTGAAATGTTAGCTCGAAATCTATAACTTTAATGCTGTTTTAAGCATGCTTGAAACGGTTGAAAACTGCATGAATACGTTACTATCCGTGGATATAGTTTTCGTACAGCTTTCGTACAAACTACAAACAACCCCTGATTTCCTAGTGCCAAAGTGGAATAAGTCTCTTTGACAATCATGATGATATATATACAATGAAAACGGTTAAACGCAAGAAGTGAGTTGTATTCATAGAATGAGCACTGCTACAAGTGTCAAACATGACGATTTCAATATTATTTAAGTGTTTTCGGAAGAAGAACGCGCTATTATAATAATATGCATCAGTTGTACGCACGTCATTGAGTCATTTCAGTGCGACTAAATCGTCTAACCCGAAATAGCTTGTATTCTCGTGACTGACGTTAACTCTATTATAATTTTTTTACGAATTATGATTACTCTAACATCCGAGCTTACACTACTCTATTGAACGATCACGAGAGAAATATTTAGTTCGAGTTATGCTTGATGCAAGTATTTCACTACATGATGCAGAAGAAGACGGCAACCGAATCTTGACTCTTCTAGGATCATACTTGAAGAAAGCCCGGCCTATTATCTCAGACTGTAGCCGTGTTTGATTTTTCTGCCTCGTTTTTCAGGATGACTAGTTTACTGCCTCACTTTCATTGCCGTCTAGTAACAGGACTGAGGAGAGGGTACACCGGGCAACACTGAACGCGATGACCACATCGAAATACGATAATAATGTACTATTACAAAGAGTGATTACCATGAATATTTTCTGGTAATTGCAATAATACTGTAGCACTATATATTGTGGCAATTTTCTACCATACTACACTAGTAATTATAAATATTAACTAGTATTGTAGCAGTTTTCATACTGGTAACACTACAGTATAGTAATCAGTGAATAACACCACAATATAATTGCATTATGTAGTAACTGAACTATCAAATCCTATGACTATATAGCTACATGGAAGTGCATGTATACATGATGCATTATTACAAGATATAAGCCCGCACAAGCTTCCACAAGCTTTGGACAAAGATATACGGCACAGTGTCACAGTTAATCCAGCTTGTTTACGAGTCAAATTTTTAAAGTTTATATGCATTGTATGAACATGAAGAGTTATTAACTTTTCTCACGCGAAACATTGGATGACAAGAAGTTTTCTCTCATTTTTTGTGTGGGGTATTTGACCTACAAGGTCATTGTAGTTTGTTTGGAAGTCATCATCGTATATAAAAAGTTCACCGTATAACTATTGTGAAAAGCGAATCTTTAAGTACTGGTTCTTTATTTTTTTAATCCTATATTCAAGGTTTTTTGATACCAACTGAACATCACACTATACTGAAAGGCACTTTCATGCAGGGGTGAAATGATAATTTCTTTTGACCAGGGTTAAAAAGCTTAATAGTTATAATGTCAATTTTCAATTCCTCCGTGAACCTTCACAACACATGACACGAGTGTAATGCCTTTATACTTATACCGCAAAACTCAGGGTGATGAATATGCATACATCCAATTTACAGTATTTCCATGAACGCATGTATTAATTAGTGTCGTTATATCAACGGTTGCTCAAAATAACACGGATGTTTTGTGTTTAAATGTTTGGGTGTTTTAACAGACGAAGAGTTTCTGTTTTAAGGCATAATATAAATAAACCAGGGTAGTCATCAAAGTTACACAGGGTACACGCTCGTCATGCATAGGCTGGTTGTGTTCAGAAACCGACTATGTTTTCATGTGTATTAACGAAATGTTGGCGCTGTGTAAGACAGAATTAAAATTGGCAACAATATCACAGTTTGAATTCATAGTTTTGCTCATTATAATTACGTCTGTCGCAGTTGAAATGAAAATTCATTTACCTCACAAGGAGTAAAACAGGTATACGCAGCCGTTTCAGTGTTCACAGTGGTATGCAACAGGCCTCTCCGCTAGACAATATGAGCATATGTCTGTAACCACAGGCTCTAGCTAGGACACATAATGGACAGCATGCCTAGTTCTCTGTGTGCATTTGCAGACGTAGTGTTCAAAGACGTGCGTTTTTGATCTCTGTCAACTAATGTGGGTTTTGAAGGGCCAAAAGAACGCCATTGTATATTTGCCAAACGTTTTTTTTATTTGCAACATTCACAAAAGGTCTCTCAACTGATCAAAGGCTTCGGCTCGCTTCGTTGCCCGCAGCTAAAATTCTCTAGTGCCTGTCAATAAGACACTTGTGAGCATGTCTATTTCAAATTGTTGTTTCACCAACTTTGAAGATGTTCTGTCACTTGTCACTCAAAAACTCAGTGGACATATGTTACCCCTTTTAACTATTTATTAGACTGCAGTCTGTACATAAAAGTTACCGAGAAAAAATGGTGCTTATTACAGCCTGTATAAACTTTAATATAAAGTACAGACCAGGCAAGCACGCTGCCATTTCTTTGGACTAAACGATCGACTCATTAAACAAAGTGATCCTTGTCCTTATTCTACTGCCAACAGGTCTGGTTTCAATTTCGGATTATTTACCCTCCTTCAATATAGCCCACCCCCCCTTACAATGCCCCAAACGTGACCTTCGTTAAATCCTCTAAATTTTTAATGCTCTTAATCGCGGCGTCAACTGCTAAAATTTTATCAACAATTATCATCCAATTTCTCTAAATCTATTTATGCAAACGCCTTTTACAGCTTAGTTGTATTATTCCATGACGCACGAGATGTCAGTGTGTTTGCCAGCTTAAAATTGAACTCCCTGGTTCACAGATCTTTCTCAATCCAGTCAGTTTATCAATACAGCACGGATATAATAGAAGTTTAATTAGAGCATACTAAACTACGGATGGAAACAGATGGCAGACATTTGTCATCTCGAAATGTGTTGACACAGTAATTTATGAGCAAGTTAAAACTAAATTTAAAATCTGATATTTGAAATTGCAAACTCCAAATTTATGGAATCTCAGTTATATGTATTTCTCCCCGATTGTCATTGCTTTGTCATTTGTGATGGGAAAAATCGAAAGGTAGTCTTACCATGGAAATGTCTATCATTGCCTAAAATGGTTCAGGATGCATTAAGATTTAAGATTTGCTGGTTTCCTTCTTACGTTGGCATTGATGAAGAGAAAACCTTAATAATTATTACAAACACGATCAAAAACTGCTAGAAAAATTGACAAACGTGATATGCCGTGTTTTTTAACAATGCACTATTTACTATCGTAGTATTTTAATGCTTCAGTTATAAACGAATGTCGCCGAAGATGCCCGCTGAATATGCTAATTACGTTACATTGGACCGCATGTCGTTTACAGTCCGAATTTTTTTACTAGATACGTTCCATACGATACATTTATTAAGAATAAAACTGTAAAAAGCGAAGACTATTTGGTGAATCTATATTGGGAGCTTGCGTGTTGTAACATACCCTCATGTGTAGCTTAGGTTTGTAAGAGGTTTAATCTTCGTAGAGGGTTAATGAGGCTGACCACACAGGAGTGTATTGCTAGACTGAGGAAGTTTTTATCAGTCTAAAAGAACACCTTTTAAGTCCTTCTAAATATCATTATCATCCAGACACAGCTATAACAACCGAGTGTTTTGAAAACACGTAACGAAAGAGATCAGTTCCAGTCCCCTTTGAAGGCCTTCGCGCTTCGCCAAAAACGTGATAATTCGATAGAATCGTTTCGTGAACTGAAAGCATGCTCAGTAGTGATAAGATCAATTAGAAATGACTAGAATAGTAGTTCACGACCCCAACTAAAGTTAGGACGCAGCCATATTTGGCTTTAGACTGAAATATTCTTATTGGCTAACATTAGAAGTCAGTTCTTACTCCACAATTATATATAGAGCTCACTTGCGGCGTCTGGCTTGTCGCAAAGAAATACTAACATGTAGTCATGTAGAGATTAACTTATGAGTAACGTACTCGTACAGTGAGTCGTACTCTTGAAATTGGCCAAATGAGAATGCCACAGAGAATACGGAAGATCAAACTATATCGCTACAAAATCTTTATTCATGCCTAGAATTTTTACTGTTAAAAAGAATTCGACAATCCCTTTCAAGAAGAAAGCACTAAAAATAGGAAGTTTGCACTGATCTTAGATGGTACAGATATATAAACACGAAAGTTGAAAACTATACGGTTTCACAATCTCAAATTTGTACTAAGGTCAGGTCACTAACATGTTTCGACACTAACCTTCATTGGAGTGTTTATTGGTTTATTACAACTGCAAAAACAGACGAGCTGACGAGGATTCGTTCCGTGAAATTACTCTAAACAATTGTTCACAATGACCACTAGCTTTCTTAAACAGTACTTGAGAATATCGACAGCGTTCTATGACGGATATAGAACGAAAAATTGATATATGCTATGGCTACACATCTCTGAAATCCATAAATAATTTTCTTCGAATATGTTAAAAAAAACACACAAAAAAATGATGGATTATTTGCAAGGTATAGATACAGTATATAGATAAGGTATTGTGAGACGGAATGCAAAAACTGATTTATGGCATCGACGCTGTCAAGCACAAATTATGAGATTTATTTTGTTATGATACCAATGCTCTCGCTAGACTGTGTTCTCGCCTACGACGACAATCCAAACACTTAAACTAGGTGATTTTCAGGGTTTTGCAAATGGATAGATAACTGACTTATCTTTTGCAAAACAGGAAACTCGATTTAGATAAAGGATTAAAAAACTTGACACCCTAAGCCTGGATCACACAGGTCACCAAATCGGCAGTCCATGCATTCATTACTTTCCGACGTACAAAAATCGACCAATGAGAAAAAGCAATGATGGCACCGACTAGTATAAGAACACAGTATACACAAAACTAAGAGGATAATCAGCTCTTGATCATGCCAAAACACACAAAATGCACACAGAATTTGTTTTATTCTTCGATATAAATCATGTGGTAAAACAGGTGAACTATCTGTTGACAGTTAAATAGTCCACGTTTATTATTTCCATCACAAAAAGAACACTTTTTCAAGTGTTTTGCTCAAGTGAACGTCCGGTTAGTTTCACCTGGACAAATTAGTTGTAGATATATAACAATGTAAACGCTAGATTTTTCAGTAGGTGTGAATGTCTGGCCCGCATAAGAGTCGACGATCCTAAACGACTACAAAAGCAGCTACTAGAAAGAACAGATTACAATTCAAAGTAAGTCAGTAGCGTTTTTTACATTCCAAGGCCAGGGCAAGGGTTGGATAACTTGGATTTGAGCCGAAGTTAAGCTTCAGAGGTTCTAAACTAGCCAAAGATTATCTCAATCTTCATTATGAGAATATTTCGCATATTTATACACGAAAATCGCATCCGAGACCCAGTAGCTACTTGACACAAGAGGGATTATATAGGCGCATGAAACCTCAGACATACCAACCAGCAATAAAGACCATTTCTATGTCATTCATTATCAAGCCAAGGCTCTTTTATGGTAAACCTGAACTTTCAACGGTGAAAGCCAGAAGACTGCGAAACATTTTTTCCGTAAATTCAGATGCTATTTAGTTCTGCATGACAGAAATGACAATGCTAGATGATAAAAACTGTATTTGCAGGAAACTGTCTAAGATATTTTTGCCGGATAATAAATCATGTCTAAAATGCAAAAGAAATCTTTCGTACACACAACACTGCCCGTTCTGGCTTCTGCCGGGGAAATTTTGTCGCAAGTTGACTGTCAAAGGTTATGTGGGCTAAAGAGCGACAACTGACAAGCCAGTGCTTTCACGAGTTGCGTTCGCATTTGAAATTATATTTATGCACCACTGAGTAATTGAGGATGTTACATAATAGGGTGTTCACAACCGTATCATATTCACATGCTCACAATTTTACATAACTGATAACTTACATTTTCAACGTGATGCAGAGATAAACGAATCTGTTTGAACGTAGTTTGTACGTTACAATACCTGTTAGCTGTTTATTTTTGATATAAATACGACTTTAATTTTTCATTGACTTATAAAACAATACTGGACACGAAAATTTGACATAAGACGGTGCTTTGGCCTTTGCGTAATAATTCCACAGAGTTTAGAAAGGAGGTGAAATCCATAAGGAAGTAAAGAGTGCCTGATGATGACGTATCTTAATCGTAATTGAATGTAATTCTGAGGCAGATGTCTGACACAGTGACACTAGTATTAACAGCATCACAGAGCAAATTTGAGAAAAACATTTTATTTTTATTTAAAGTCACAGAAAGCTAGAATGTTAGCTTAATGGAAAGTCAAGTACTGCTAATAAGGGGGTGGTTAAGTATCAATAGCTAGATGTGGTTTAATAGGCCATTACCATGGAAAAGTGAAATTTTCAAGGCAATCTATTAGGATTCCACACATATATACAAACTTACAGATAAAGGACTCTTTGTTGAGCCTGCATGAATGTGAATCCCTCCAGATAACGTTTCTTTCAGCTTTTCCACATTATCTTAATATATTCACAACAACATTGCAATATAATTTTGTGCATCTGCTTGTACGTACAAAGTGTAGTTTAAATATATTCTCAGAACAAATAACTCCAGGCAGAATGAGTCCAGCAAATTGTGAATAACAAATAGATGTGCATATCCCACAGTGATATTTATATGTCTTTACTCAACAAATTTATTTTACTCTGTCACTTCATTTCGGAGCAACTCCGTCGATTTCAATTAATTCAATGCTCACATCAAGAAACAAGTCAAAATATGGCTGTACAGGATCTTCGAAGCCTGTAAATTTGTCTGATCTATTTGTACGCAAATTTTCAAGCACAAATTCCTGCTTATCACAGTCCAGTGTGCACTTGAGTACATCGCCTTCTTCCCACCATTCCAAGGGAGATTGGCTCACAAGAGACTGGGGACTGTACTTGGTGCCGCCAGATGTCCACACCCACTTGTTACCAGTTTTCCAACCAAGACTGTGCAAGTGTTCACCCTTTTGAGATATACCAACTGCAAGCCCCCTTCCAAACTTATTGATTTTCAAACACCAAGAATGCTTGCCTGTAATAAAATCATCTGTTCCAACCACACTTTCAACATCGAATCTTTTAGACGTCACAGACAAACAGTCGTTTGAAAATTCTGGATGCCCGGTAAATGATTGCTTGTCAAATCGCCACATAATGAAGAGCCTAGAAGAAGTGAAACAAGAACACCATGTTTATCTACTGGTAATACAATCTTATACCTTCAAAAAATGGTGATTAACAGAACATCATATGTATGACATGATTGCTATAAACAATGTTTGAAGATAATCAGTGTAGTATTTATAAAAGAAACATCTAAATCTTCATAACGCGTGAATTAACAGCACACATTCCACAAACTTATAATTTCCCCTGTTTTGCCTATAGTCATAACATACGCAGAATAATTTACCTCACCGTCTACACAGTAAATTAGACAAAATCAGTACGGTACCTTTACAGAGGGGACTTGATTCTTCACGAAGGAACGCAATATAATAAAATTCGACACTTCAAATAAATTGTACAAACACAAACAAAATATAAATAGTTATCTCTCGAACATTTAATTGCGACGTCAACCCTGGACGATGATGACCTATTGGGCGACCTATGCTTCGACTTCCGTTATTCCGAAATGCCCCGGAATGCACCCAAATGTCCCAACGTATCAATATCAATATTTCCTCTATGTCAATATTTATCACATCGTAACCATTTTAAACCCTATTCCAATAGTTGGATGGTTGGAGGTACTTATTGGAGTGCCACTCCTGGGGTGTAGGGGCACTTTCTCGTGCAGCAAAAATGCTTTTTTGAAAAACGTGTGTCTATGTCCCGGAGATGTCCGACTATCAGTACACTTCGAAAGAAGAACTTGAAAAAGAAGAGGTTTTGCTGAAAAGCATCAAAGATAGACTTGTAGATCAACTTCAAAGACTGAAGGTGATGTATTGTTTGTGATACTGTCAATCATTGTGTTTCTGGTATTGTATGTATGGTTTGTTGAGGACCATATATGAAAGTAAATATGGCACCTATATACCTGACAATTTAGTATTTTTTTTCAAAATTAGGTGGAAGAACTTGCTTTGCTAAGCAATCCATCAAACGTGTCTCAAACAGCTAATTCAACAGGGTCATATTTCAGTAAAACAACGATAGAGGTAAATATGTTTTTATATAAATTGTATGCTGAAGATATGTAGAATTTTAGCATGAAGTATATTTGTAAACAGATCCGGAAGGATAGCACAGGCTATGCGGAATGGTGTGTTTATTTGGTGTGTTTATTTTTCTTAACTTAATTTGATGCGTTTATTTTTCTTAACAGGGTGACACAAATGCATATGAAGTGAATGAGGAAATAAATTGTCTACCTCTCATTGATTTGACAGATTCAGCGAGGTATGTAGTGCATGATGTTATCTAGAGACCGTCAGTTTTCAACAACGTAGTTCACAATTAATTTCACTAATTTTCATTGTTAAGATTTGCCAACATTGAGATGGCTAAATGTTAATTGCCATTACAAATTTTGGTTTACCATTTAGGGTCCCATGCAAACATCAATCTTAAAGTGCATATTATTATGTTCTAAAATCATTTTATACAATACATCTTTGAACCACTCTTGTGCCTGATTGGTTCATTGTTCTTGCTATCCCCCCCCCCCTCAAATCAATGAATAAAATGTGAAAGTTGCAAAGTGACATAGACCAACTCCTAATTATTGTAGCAACACACTGATCTTAAGTAGCCAACCTGGAGTGAATGAAGAGGAAGAGGAGGAAGATGAGACATAGGAATTAGTGATGATGGTCACAAATTGTATGTCAGATTATACCATAAGAAATAAGCAGATCCTATATTACAAGAAATGGAAGGACTTTAACTACCTCATGGGTGTCAACTGGAGAAAAAGTGGGAACATGAATTTATTTTGACCACAAAGTTTTACATTTTAATACTGTTGTAAAAATGTTTACACATTATTCCACAATTATCACCCAAACAATATCCAAGTACGTTTCACATATTAATTGAAATTACCCCCCTTCCCTCAGCCTTATAGTTATAGAGTACGATCTTTTCTGGTAGTAGAACTGCTCATCTCATTTATATATGCATATATTTTCAGTGCAAGCATTTGCACTGCAGTTACCATGATCCATCTCATCTAAATCTATCCTATAGATGTTACACATTCTGTCAGTAATTTGCTGTTAAACCTGTGTATCTGTTGAACCTATAGTGTGAAAAATGAGAAAATTGTAAATGTGGTTAGTAAAGCATTAGAAATAAAAGGAGTTAAAATTGAAATGGTTTGCTGAAGAAATACTACCTCGTCCATCACAAGCAACCACTTTCACTTTATCAACATTTACTGTGTCGGGCAGATCTTTGAATTCAACATGGTTCAGCACAAATGTCCAAACATTATCACAAAATCTGTAGACATTTAAACTTCCCTAATGAAAAGTACCACAAAATATTTTAAACTCTGAGGTACATGAGTGGCATGATAAACCTTCACGGAAACATACCTTGAAATTAGCCCTGGTTTTAACTTGTGAGGCCAATGCATGATTAATTGCTTTGTCAAACTGCAGTAAAACTTGAAGGGCTAATTGAGGACTAATTTGTTGAGACTATTTAAAGAAGAAGACCATTTTATGGTTGGGATTATTGGGATAATTTTCATCATTTTTGTGTTCAACTTCCTATAAAGTCTCAGGAACGAAATTTAGTTTACTTTTTGTGAATAACAATGTAAATATTACTTGTATAACCTGAATTAGTTCATCCAAGCTTTCTTGTAAGCTATTTCCCAACGTTGTATTTCGATACAGCTGGTAACTCATTGTTACTTGCTTCGAACGTCCTTTATATAGGAAGTCTTTTGATTTTTAACTGCCTTATTTGGTCAACACCTCGCGACGCCATCTTGGATTTGCCATATATGGCAAAAGGGACTATTATTTATGTATATATACTGGTATGTATATATCAGTGGTAACTGGTATATATATGCACAGTTAGCACAGATATAGTATATGCCACATATATGGATGGCAAAGTATAAGTCCGGGAACGTAAGAAATGATCGTAAACCGTACCCAGGCATAATCTAGGCATAAAACTAGCCATATTTTTAACATCTGTTCCTCATGCCAAGTGTAATTTGTATTTCCTGTTTCCTTTTGGTCTGTTTCTATCCAAGGGCGTAGGCCCCGAAAGGCCTTCTCTAGATGCGGTGAAACGTGTTCGTCGGTAAAAGTAAAACTATGCTCTCAAAGATAGTCATCACGTGTATAGCTCTGATATGATACATGTGCTCTTGCATATTTGTCATATTTCCCTCCATACTAACTCTTCTGATGAAAGCCCTCAGGTTGAAACCTTAATACGCAGTCTTGTCTATTTTAGACTATTGTAACACTACATTTGATGAGAAATTCTGGCCCTTAGTGAATATAGGACGCTACAAAATGGGCATATCACATATGTGTTTGTCGATATTTTAATTTTGTGACACGTCGACGACACCGCCCACTTTCTTCCCACCATTGGGAAATCTAATGTTCGAGTTGAGATAAACGACAGCTGAATTTGAGTATTTTTTGGAAAGGTAAGGTTTTTTTTGTTTTGTTTTATTCATGAATTGAATTTTATTCATGAGTTTATAACTTTGGAAATAGTCGCAGGAGAGAACTGCGTGAACTACATAACATTCGTTCAATTTAGTTCTTGACATATTTCATGGTCATTGAGGCGTACTTTTGTTTACGTATTCGACACCTCGTGTACTGAAATTAACGATGATTACACTTCTGCCACTTGTGCTCTCACGTGGGCATAAAAAGAGTTGAGGAATTGATGGAAAATACAAGGTTTTTGACTGCATGAGTCGATGTTTTTATGCAAATTGTTTGATCTTGATCAAAGTTGATCATTCTTAGTTTAGACGTGTTATGTTACAAAGTTATAAGTATGTATCTCGATTATAACGGTTTTCTTTGGGCTTTCGAATCGCTAGCGCTTGTAACACGCCTAATAACTGCTGAGAATATGGCTCAGATTACCGATAAATTCCCGGTAGTATCGGTTTCAGACTGTTTTGCTATATTTTGCATTTAAATGTGAATAATTCTCGAATAAGCGATTTGTTTACATTATTTGACCGCAGTTTGAAAAGAAACATTTGATTTCCTTCCGACAATACACCAATGCTTGTTTCATATATTGGCTTCGATCCTCGCCTGCTGATATTTTGCAGAAACAGGGAAATAACTACAGTTCTTTTTTAACTACACGGAACTTTCGATTTTAAAATTGTAGACGTGGTCAGGTCAAGCCACAGAGAATAGACCACGCGACGCATATGTAATATACATGTCTCTTACTCTGACTCTGCTAAGTCAGATACACGAGGTCAGATATCTCGACCAGTCGATGTTTTATTGCGGAATCTTTCGTTACAACAATATCCTAAAGATATGTTGTATTAAAAGCTAGTAACTTCAGCCCGAAGAGACAATATTCTCGTTGCTAGGTCAACATGCGTTTGTTTTAAAATATCTAATTCCTCGCTATTTACACAAGACAATTTCGCTGTGAGTATTCGCCCTGTCAGGGGACAGGAACCACTTGTTTGCAAATGCTGTTAAAATAATGATCGAAAATTACCAATCACACTTGAGCATCTTAGAACTAATAATGATTTGTGTTTATAGCAAAATTGTGTTTACTGTGAATACGAAACCGACCTGTCTAACCATTGAGTATTGACATAGACTGTGATAATGGATAGGACATGATATGGTGATGGTTTAAAGTCCGGAAGCTCAGATAGTCTTCTTTCTAATGATATTGATATTTTCTGCATGATGAAAATTGTTGACATCAAATTTTAGCTCTTCACAGACATGATTTCTCTGAAGTCCGCTGAGTTTGCAGTTCAACATTTTCTGAATGTAACGACATGGTATCAAGGGTAGAAACGTACCCATATGATATGGGGGATGAGCACCGCCTGTTCCTCCTACGATTAAGATACAATACAATACAATAAATTGATGATCACTATACGGTGATGATCACTATACGGTGATGATCACTATACGGTGATTGGTAAAGATGATTGAAAACTATTAAAGCAATGTCGCTAAATTAGGCTGTACTAATGACTGATACGCATGCGTAATTCGCGTGGACAAATTGGAGGACTGATTACAGTGAGATTGAATGAAAAGTGTCTTTATTCAATATAGAAAATATTAAGTTACCAAAATGGCGGAAAACAGACTTCACTGGACTGATTGGTTCATTATTGCTTTCTATTTTCTCTTCACAATTGGCGCTGGTTTATTTGTAAGTATTGTGTTCCAGATCTTGAATATTGCTACATTACCACATCAATTTACATTTCACTGGTTTTTAGGCAAAACTTCGTAAGGGTCGCAAAGAGGAGACCGCTGAGAGTTACTTCTTAGCTGGGCGGTCATTAATGTGGTGGATGGTAGGTGGTTCCTTGTTTGCCAGTAATATTGGTGGAACACAGTTCATCGGTGTGTCTGGTGACGCAGCAGCTACTGGTATCGCGGTTGTCTCGTATGAATGGCAGGTATGTAGCCTGATGGTACTGTATGGTGGTGGTAGTGTATGGTGATGGTAGTTTATGGTGGTGATCGTGTATGGTGATGGTCGTGTATGAATCGAAGGATGGTTGTGTGTGGTGATAGCAGTGTGTGGTGATAGCAATGTATGGTGATGGTAGTGTATGGTGATGGTAGTGTATGGTGATGGTAGTTTATGGTGGTGATCGTGTATGGTGATGGTCGTGTATGAATCGAAGGATGGTTGTGTGTGGTGATAGCAGTGTGTGGTGATAGCAATGTATGGTGATGGTAGTGTATGGTGATGGTAGTGTATGGTGGTGATCGTGTATGGTGATGGTCGTGTATGGTGATGGTAGTGTATGGTGATGGTAGTGTATGGTGATGGTAGTGTATGGTGATGGTCGTGTATGAATCGAAGGATGGTTGTGTGTGGTGATAGCAGTGTGTGGTGATGGTAGTGTATGGTGATGGTAGTGTATTGCAATGTAGAAATGGTAATGTAGAAATGGTAATGAAGAAAATCACGCGTTTTTTTCATAATGCTATCCTATTCTTAGGCCTCGTGGATTTTACTTCTCCTTGGTTATCTTTTTGTTCCCGTTTATCTAAAAGGAGGGGTAAGATAATCTACGTTCTGCACAAACACATAGGAAGTAATATGGTGTGGTTTGACATTCTTGTTTCAATATGTAGATATTTACGATGCCTGAGTACCTGGAGAAACGATATAAAAGTCCAGTCATGCGAGGAATCCTGACATTCATTGCCTTAGTCAGCTATGTTTTTACCAAGATTTCTGTGAGTATAGCTTTAATGAAACCTCTCCACTGTTTTTGATGTCATAGAGAATATATATGGTATCTCGAGGGAGCACGGTTGAAAAGTGACTATTCTATATCCAACCAGGTTGATATATATGCTGGAAGTCTTTATTTCAAAGAGGCAACTGGAATGAACATTTATATCTCGTCTGTGTTCGTCCTTACTATCACGGCTGTCTATGTTGTTTTGGGTAAGTTCCTTGATGTCTTGGAGGTCACTGCTTTGCAGTTGGTCGTCTTGGCTTGTACCCATACCTCTCATGGATACTACTCTTCTGCTTTTCTCAGGTGGTCTTCAGGCTGTCACTTACACAGATGTCTTACAGTGCACGATCATGTTGCTTGGCGGAATCGTTTTATCTGGTTTAGGTAAAGAGAACTTTCGATACAGTCAACGTGACTACTTCTCCATGTGAAAGGAAGACTGCAGATCTAACTTATGGAATGTTTCCCCCATCGAGTGCTGGTTACAATAACATTTACATTTCGTAATTGAACCAACATGCTTTTTGTTTAGCATTTGATAAAGTTGGTGGAGCTGCAGCATTGTGGGATAAATTTGGGGTCGTTGCCATGACTGCGGGTAATATGACAAACGGTACAACTATGAGCAGTAATACAACCTCAGGATGTTATAGCATGACTCCATATTGGTCTAACATGTTTCGACCTGCGAGCGATCCGGAATACCCTTGGGTTGGCCTTTGGGTGGCTTTGCCTATCATTGGTATCTGGTACTGGTGTACTGACCAGGTAAGCGTTTGAATGTTGATGGTGTAGGATGATGGTTGAGGTTTAGGGTGAAATCTTTCCATTTTATCTTTCACCTAGGTTATTGTTCAACGTGTTTTGGGAGCGAGGAACATTGTCCACGCAAAGGGTGGTACCATCTTTGCAGGTTTCCTCAAAGTCTTACCAATGTGGCTGATGGTGATGCCTGGTATGATTAGTCGGGTCCTGTTTCCAGACACAGTCGGCTGCACCGACCCCAAAACATGTAAAGAAGCTTGTGGTAATGAGTTGGGATGTACCAACGAAGCATATCCGAAGTAAGTCGACAAGTGACGACGACTGAGAGTAACACACAAAATTTCAACGACGAATCAATTTTGGATACTCAAATGCTGTTAAAAATCTGTTTGTTAGGTTGGTTATGAATATTCTCCCAACTGGTATGGTCGGTCTGATGATGGCTGTCATGCTCGCGGCTGTGATGTCATCCCTTTCGTCCGTCTATAATAGCTCAAGTACCATTTTCACCATGGATATCTGGCAGAAGTTCATTAGAAAGCAGGTGGGTGGCTGATCACAATAGTGGTGAGTGATGGTATCATGGTGATAGAGCCAGAAGTCTGTGAAATGAACCTAATGATAATATGATATATTTTGTCCATTGTTTTTCAGGCAAGTGAACGGGAGAAAGTCGTTGTCGGTCGAATGGTTGTTTGTGTTTTGGTAGTTCTTGGTTTGTTATGGCTTCCCCTTATTGACCGTAAGTGAAGTACAAATTGAATCTTTGACGTGCCTCCACGTATGTACATTCACCATCCATTTCCATATCGTTTCAGAGGGAGGTGGTGGTCGCCTATTCAAGTATCTTCAAACCATTCAGATGTTGCTGGGAGCCCCAGTGATGGCTGTGTTTTCTGTGGGTATATTGTGGCATCGTGCAAACGAAACTGGCGGACTTGCAGGTCTGTACGAAGAGGTTTAGTTTAGTTTTCCTCTCTTGTGTTCTACGACTAGTAAGCCTGCATTATATAAAAAAGTATTTTCACCGCGAGGCGTTGATATTTTTCCTTGAAGAATCGAAGTGTTTTCAAGAGTTCATTCTGGAGCATTGCCTTCATGTGTGAAGTCAAACTCAAAATCTTCAACAATTTAATTTCCCTGTTTTAGGTCTGATTATCGGCGTGATCCTCGGCTTATCGAGATTCATCGCGGAATACGTGCATCCCACTCCAGCGTGCAACGAGAAAGATGACAGACCACTCTTTGCCTCCATGAACTTCATGTACTTTGGTAAGAACAAAAAGACAATGGCGGTTGACAAGAAAAACTGTGCATTTCATTTCTTGTATATTTCATTTTTTGGCACATTTCATTCATTGAACCTCCACATATTTTTTCTTCAAGGCATCATACTATTCTGCGTCACTGTGGTGGTGATTGTCGCTGCGAGTTTTCTGAGAGAAGCAATTCCTCTCGAAGATCTCCCTGGCTTGACGTGGAAAACTCTCCATGACAAGAAGAAGCCCTCCTCTGATCCTAACCACGAAGGTTTGAATTGAAAATTGTACACAATCAGTGACCGTATCCTTCATTACATCCACAGAGCTTTGAAATTTTACATCATTCCCCATTTACTCAATCAAATTACTTTTGTATGACATCTCATTCACATCACACTATTTCATATCTCAAGACCACGCTCGCTGTGTGGATGTCATCTTTTTATTAGACTGCATTTCTTGTTCTCATATCTCACAGGTGAACACGAATTATCGCCTGTTGAGGAGACAGATAGTATGATGCCAAAGGAAAAAAGCAGCAAGGTATTGTGGGTGACTGCTCATGGTGATGGTGAAAATGTCGCCACGGTGGAGAAAGGGCAGCTGACCGATGGCACGGACGATGATGATGACGTACTACATCAGACACGTAAGGAGAAGATAATTCTTAACTGCGGTACCGCTGCCCTCTTGTTCACACTGCTCGTTGTCTGGATCTACTATAGATAGTCAAACAAAAGTAACATATATAGGTATACATCAAGCGATAAAGGACGCTGCATGGCAGCCGCTCGCATTATCTCAAAAGTAGATATGGGATGATTGAAAAGTGGCTACACCCCATTGGGCTCTGTTTAGAAAGAGAGATATAGACATAGGATGATATGAAATATAACGTTTTGTACAGCTTGTTTGATGTCCAACTATCACATAATCATAGGCGAATGATTTATAGTGCTCTTTAGCAGTCCCAGTGGAAGGGTCTTTGCTCGAAACATCGCATCGTTTGATCCTATAACTCCCTGAGGCATTGCGTAGCCCAACCAACAGCTTGGTAATTTTGTGTTGTGTCTTGTGTACTTGTTTGTGAAAAAATGATTTGCCAATAAACGGTAATCGAGTCAACTGATTTAAAAACATAAAGGCACCCCGAATCAGAAAGAGTATACGCTACCATTTTGTGGACTGCGCGCGCCATTAGATAGAAATGGGTTAGTGGGAAGGGGATTGATAGGTCTAACCAGCTGTTCTCTTTACGAGATATGAGAGCGGAGTATGTTTGAGTTATTGTGGAGTAATATTTTGAGTTAAGATGATAGTTCATGATTTCTGGAGGAGGAGGCTTCTGACCCTGATTTAATTTGCAAAAATATACCTTTTCCGAATACCACAATATTTATTTATTAAATAACCATTCATTATTTACATTGGGAATTTTGTGATGCATTAGCGTGATTGGAGAATATACTGTAGGCTGCTATATTTCGCATAATCAGCGGCGAATCTAAATTTAACTGCTTCTATATTCAGATGCCATTTTCAGCTGATTGGCATTTGGTTGAGTAAAGACAGTCCAAGTAATGACTAGCTAACTCCTTAACCATCGATCTGTCAGGTATCTTTTGCGCCATGCCGTAAATTGCACCCTAAATAGAACAATTATTGAGCTACATGCCTGCGACTGCACAAGAATACGCTATAATACGACGACGCATGCAGGTATATAAAAATAGAATTTAAAACGTACTGCACCAGTTGTTTTCCATTCGGGATTTCTAAGAATTTTATTACTACATTCCCGGACATCGCGGAGGAACCTTTCAGCAACTCCCGATTTCGTCATTGGTAGAGTGACGCAGATATGGAGGCTGCGAGAGATGAACACCGGTCATTGTGCAGAATTGACAGATGGAATTTCATGGGCAGATCACTACCCATCGCCGGACAGATGGGAATATTTGTTTCAGGTTCAAACACAAGTCACCGACGCCTCCTGTACTCGTGCATTACCTCAAGTGTAATCTCTGAATTAAAACCCACAAACCTGGATGGAAATTGCAAAGCATTCAGTTTCCATTTTCGAGAGGAGAGTTCATCTCCTAACGCGAATATATCGAAGTCGTTTGATCCGAATGCAACAACACACACTTCTGGCTCACCAAACACAAATACGCCCTTAGTCTGTCGTAAACTACGAAAAATATTTGAAGTCAATTTTCACATGAAGGCTTTTACAGTCTCAAAATTCTTATCTTTAGCATTGCTAGTAGTACGAACCCATCTCTAATGGCTCTTGTCGTTTTAACAATGCGCTTGGTTGCATCAACGTAACCTTTGAAAAAAGGCAAAGAATAATCGTTACTGACTTACTGTGGAGCGATTATAGCCAGTTGTTGCCCGTGGTCGAAGCTCACCTGATTTACCAAGATGCATCATGGTCGTCCAGCATTGCGCAACCAGCACGCCGGGTCTTGAGCCCGACATTGTTGCTGTTGCGTAAATACCTCCTGTCCATTCGGTACTGGTGTGATATTGGTAGTGTCTTAAGGATTTCGTATGATATAAGATGACAGAGGATCCTTTCGGAGCACAACCGTACTAGATCAAAAGAAATGATGAAGGGAGGTAAACAACACACGAGCATTGTGTCTGAACCATCTGGAAAATATCATGTGTTTAATCTAATTTAATTGTACCTTGTGAGCGTCAGCTGATATGCTTGTCACTCCGTCGACAGAAAAATCATAGGGAGGTAATTTGAAACTGCAAGAAGAAGCAACTAGAATACATATAGACCAGGCATTTCTAGCGTAAACATGATAAGTTGCAAGAGAAGAAAAAATGAACCAACCCAGCAGATTTCATGAATCCCAACACGAATCCTCCGAGGCACGCATCGACGTGGACACCGATGTTGTATCTTTTACCAAGCTGCAAAGAAAGTCACAACAGTCAGGGTAAGAGTCCATTAATTCCTAGAAATCTTGATCTGCCATTGTTCAACATATTTATCAGAAAGTATCGCTCGGGGTGGCCCTGTATCGAAATGCTCGCTTTGAAGAACTCACTTTCGCAATCTCTTCAATGTTGTCTATAATTCCTGAAGGAAACTCCGGTGCTGAACCCACAAGCTGTAGAAATATATATATCAACTATTAGGGAATAATTTATTCGACTATCCTATTGATCTGTTTTAGGATTACCAAGACAGTGTTCCTGGTGATGGCTTTTCGCATTGCTTTTATGCTAACACTCCTTTTCTTTTGGTTCACAGGAACTTTGATAAGTTTCATCCGAAAGTACTCGGCAGCCTTAGAAACAGAAAACATCATGAACAGTAAGATATGGCATTTTCCATCGTTGAGACAATAAAATATACCGCGGAGTTCGTTCGCTATTTCATGAGAGGAGTTTTCAATGTTGACAAGCGTTTTCATAATTTGCAGATATTTATTTTATTTACAGAAATATCAATGAAGGGTATTAACGCACTGATGATTTGCACAAACCTTCTCAAAAGCTGCATGAGCTGATTCGGAAACAACTCTAAAGAGAACCGTGAAGTAAGTATCAGACAAACCAACGTCAAAAATTGACAAAGTTATTGCGGAGAAATTTTCATCGAAATATTTACATTTCAGGTTTGGTAATTCCTTTAACGTCTCTGCCCCAATCTCTATATGATTTACACGCCATAAGAATGCTATTCGTGCCAGATGCAGTCATCTAAAGTGGAAGAAGGTAAGCAATTTGAAAAAAATTTGTTAACACGACAATAGCGAGTCGAAGTTGAAGCAAATATACCGTTCCACAAGCATCGCTTCCGCCATTGAATAAGTTCACACACATTTGAACCACTTCAGCTTCCATTTTGCGCACTGAAAGCAAAGATCAGGAAGTTCATCTTCACCCAGTTTATACGGGTAAATTTTCGGTATAGAAATCACAATAGTTCAGCGAAACAAATAAACATTTATATCACCTCCTGGGAAAACGTCCGGATGCAGGGGGTTTGACCACAGAAATTTGTTGAACACCTAATTGAACGAAAATACAGGATAAAGGTCTTGAAAAGAGGCTCGTAAAGCCCAAGGTATATCGATAAACATGCATCATTGGTAGCACACTATTTTGACCATCAAGACCGGGTTTTGTATGAACGAAAGTTGATACTCAATAAAAATTTCTTTTAAGTTTTAGCCTCAATTGACGAAGGTGCATGCCTTATCAGAATTTTAACATAAACGAAAACTGATCGATAAATAACCTGCGTCTGAATTTCGGTCAGATCATTCCCGCCATGGTATACTACACCGGAACCCATATCCCAGGATATCTTGCCTGGAAATAACCACAAAGAATCACATAGACACATACAGCATTCCTGAAAATTTTTTACTTTTGCATAATAGGCTTATTACGCGCGGATTAGGATGAATAGAGAATGCTCTCTTTTTAAACGAATTCGTATAGCATTTACCTAATTGCTGATATTCGATAATGCGCTGAAGAAGCTGATCCTGAAACATAATTGAAGTGAAAGCATTCGGTTGGATTGATTTCTAGTTCTGACTCTCCCGTACGACAATTCTGTTCTGTCTTACCTTAGGTAATCCAGTTTTTGGCAGCTACAAAGAGAGTGGCAAAACAAGATATATAAACTAATGTAATTCTTAGCTTCAAAACACAAAAAAATGTTTTAAAAACACCATCAAACGGCTATTTAATTTCCTGCCTTTGTGGTATAAATTTCGCCCATTCTTTGCTTCCCCACTTCTCTTTCAAGTTCAGCTTTTTTGATATTTAGTTCTGTTTTTATCTATAGTAAACATTAATGAATTTTTTTGCAAATGATCGCCAAGCAGTCGTAGAGTGGTTTTACATTGTATTTTTTCTGTTTAGATTGGACGAAGTCAGTAGAGTGAACATACCTTCTCCTCTAAAAATGGCAGTTTTCGGAAAATCTTGAAGAAGGTCTTTTTAGATCTAAACACGATGCCTAAATGGTACAGTGATATGGTAGTTGAAAACAACGTGTTCAGACAGTGGTGAGTGAATGAAACGCCTTTTCACCTTCATCTTGCATAAATAACCACCAAACTATCCATCTCAAAACCTCAACGCACAGCCAAAGAACAAACATACAGAGCGCCGTATTTGTTACAATCTAAAACCAAGAGAGCAAAGGTTCAAAAGGCCCCGTATTTATTTGATAAGAGCATGACTTTGAGTATCACACGCCGTGAATAATTTTATTTATTTGCAGAAGTGTTCTTATTGCTGAGTAATCCTCTTTCGGTATAGTATAGTATCAGTATGTGACTAACAATACCAGCTTAGGAAAATTATACATATCATGCCCGGGAAGGCGAGCTTATATATGTAGCAAAAATTAATATATATGGGCACTGATGTATTTTCGTACTACCTCACGAGATCAAATAATTTATTGATGTCGACAGGATGAAAATATTTCAGTTATTTCAAGCAATACTCAAAAGCTGACCTTTGATCAGTACATGCACTTCGCTTTCAATTACCCTGTCCTTTGGCTTTGGTGAAATCATATGACTTGAATGAGAGCAAACAGAGGCCATTTTGGCTGTAATATTCTCACAATTTTCCTCGTTCAATATATAAACGTTGATGAATATGGAGCCAAATACTTATCACTTTCAGCAAAGCCATTAAAAAAGTCAGGATTTTTTTAAGAATTTGACAAAAATGTTAAAAAAATCTCAGGCTTACTATAAGCCGTTTTAATAATGACCTCGTTTATTCGTATTGGGTTCACATGTTTAGGATATAAAGAATTCGTTTCCCGCTCGACAAAATTCTAGTTACGACATCGCATAAACGTGGTAGCACGTCAGTAGAGCGAAAGTAAAAAAAATACAGTCACTGAATTTAACCACAGAACCGGCTTGCATGCATGGGGATAGGTAAAGGTGCCCAATAACAAAATATACAGTTGTCATGAAACTTTATAACGTCCATACACGCTACATACAGTAGAGCGATTCCTGCAGAATAGAACACAGTTCTGTCTTGGCCTCAGTAAAAGAATAACAGTAGGCCCCTATATACGAACTCGATCATGTGAAATTTCGTATCAGAATAGATGCACACTTTATGCACACTAAATCGTATGAAGAATATTTTAATATTATCCTTCGTAGGAAAACCTACTTGCCAAGCCTCCAATCCTCTGCACATTCGCCTCACTTTCCTCTCCAATAACAGTTGCAAATAGACCGCTCTGAGCTGGATGAAAGAATACATTATTACCAAGGTATTTCTCAAGGTATTGTGTTTCTATATTATGCGCTATTCGGCGGCTTGTTGTTCCTTGTATGCCCTATAGTCCGTGTGTGTAATTGAACACCATATGTAATTGAATAGTATTTACGAGGGTGAAGATGTGCGGGAAATTCTGTAATGATATATCTAGTGATACGAAGCAGTGCGTAATGTCAAGTGGTATACATATTATCAAGCCTCCCTGGAGTGAACTTTGTGATTTAATATTAGAGTCACACAAGCAAAGCCGCAGGGATCTATAAAGTCAAGCCAGTTTTGTTTATAATGCTGAATATTTCACATTAGAAAACGAATCGAATAAAAACTCTGAAATCAGTTGGATCCTTAAAAAAAAGATGAAACAACAAACCATACCTGTTATTTTTATCCGAAAGTAAGGAAAACACAAAGTACACCAAACTAGCTAAATAAATACGGACACATTTCTAAACTGCATTATATAGAACTTATCGTATGTACACTCACATAGAATTCCTCCCATTTTAAACGTCTTGGTATCATTAAAGATATAGTGTCAAGAGCCTCGTCCATTTTTTAACTGGTATTTTTATTTTATTGATTGTGATGCAAAATATCTGAAAATTATGAAGCAATATTTGCTTGTTCGAAGTCCGAGTATAGACGCGAACCATAGACCATTGTAAACACATGGATATGTGTGTAACATGACACTCTGCAAATATTTCGGTGTGTGATACCAAATTAAGATAGCTCTTGCCTTGGCCAACGTACTGATCGATGAGAAGGTTCAGTATACGCGACAACTACCAAGTACCAGGAAAAATATTCAGTTGCTAGCAATACTCTTCCGCATTCTCGTAACTATCTATGGACTCATGCATATCAGTCAGTGATACTTCTAAACAACGAGTATTGGTCAACTAGAGTCTAGAAAGAGACAAGATGATTTACAGGTCAGTCCCGGTGGACGAGGTCTCTGAAATGGTCACACCCAGCATGTTACGGAGTTTTTTTTACATACTTTAGGCGTTCCGGTTGTTGGGACTATATTTCATCAGTGAGAATATATTTGACCCTCCAATCTGGTTGTTGGATAGCTATGGATCTCAGGTTTATTTGAAACTACCATATGTCAGAATCATTTTCTCGCTGCGGCTTCGATACCAGTGCAGATGAAACTCATCACCGACATTACAGAAAAACTTATCAGAACAAATGCAAAGCAGCTTTTATTTATATACTCAAGAATTTACAACATATGCCAAAATACAACATTTTTGACACCGGTAAAATTAGGTAATCTTATGTTATCGATCTGTCATAATTTTCAGGCTATTTTGGTGCTCTAGCTGCCATTTATCAAGTCATATTTTGGAAAAGAGTTGACGTCGTTTTTTCTGTGTTTTTATCAACGAGATAACCGTTGTAGAAATCTCTGGCGGTGATGGACTTTCTGTGTTGCATTTTCAACGATTTCCAGCCGACCCAGCCATCCTGCAGGAAAAAAGCAAATGATATGGCTTGTGTCTAGGTGTTCTTGTCTTTTACGGGTTCAGCTGGTAACAAAACAAGCCTTATGCAGACTTTTGCAAGTTGTCTGAGCGAGAATTTACTGCTTTCACACCTTGCACTTTATAAAAAGAAGATTTTCATCGCAGTCGTAATACGGTTGGCCAACAACTGCATCTTCTGGAGGACCTAAAGGAGCAAAATGAGATGGATATCCCCTTTCGGGACCGCAGTCATATGCTATGTATATTTAAGAAAAATACAAGAAGCAGGTAGTATATTTAAAACTTTCTTGGGACACGTCAACAAAATACAAAATCTGAATTTTCTTGATACCTCACCTGGTAGTGAAGTGCTACATATATCAAGTTTTCCCAATGTGACAATTTGATTGTTCCACTTACATTTGAGACCGAACTATTGAAAGCGGATTAGACTTGTATGAATCAGACAAATTAATTGTATGTTATCGTCAAAGTCTGATATTCGAAGCTCGTTTTGTCAGGTTGAAGGTTGTTTTGTCAAAACAAGTTTCATACCAACCCTCTGTCGAGTCGCACAGGACAATCGCTGAATATATCCACAAGTGAATTCGCCCCATTTGATGTAGCTCGTTTCTTTCAATAGTTTAGGAGCTAAATACCCAAAGACGTTTGAACAACGTGTGCAAGGAATTTGCTGAAAATATCAATTTAGGGATCTAGTAGCAGCATACCTTCTGTAACCTCTCTTTCATCCTGGGCGATGGCAGATGTTCGTAATTCGTTGAAATTTGCCAGGACATCAACGAGCTAAAATTTGGAGATGAGATTTCCGTTTACGACTATTTTGTCAGGAAAACATGCGTTGCTAAATAGAGAGTCTAGACTGTCAAGTACTCATATACCATCTTTGAGGATAATGCTGACAAACTATCTGCCAATTCGTCGTAGGGAGTATTTGGAGGAATCTATAAATATTTGAACGAAATTACACATCTTTTCAACGATGAAAAGTATGAAATGTCTCTCGTCAACTTGCAACGCTGACAAACTGAACTGTATTTTCTGCATACTTGAAGTCTATTTTGCGATAAAATTTTTCCAGCGTCGAACCTCAAAGAGAAAGCTTTCTGTTAGCGTTGTTTATCACATAGAAAAAAGCTCTAGCTTGAAAATTGAAAAATGTCCTACTTTTTGGGAGAGACTTCGATGATCGACACACCAGTTTCCGTGTCTCCGTTAAGGAGTGTGTGGACAATTGGTGAAGGACCTCGCCATTTAGGTAGGAGAGAAGGATGGATATTTATTGCTCCGCTTAAAAAAAGGATATCAAGGTCTGTTCACACGATCCAATTTTGTTGGATCTAATTCACTTCTGACGTATGAAATATAGTCAGTTATTGATAAAGCAGTAGTGCATTGGCTTCAGTGGATTTGCTGCTCGTATACATTACAAGACAACAGACTATAAAACATCCATCAGAAGTGAATTGGATCCAACAAAATTGGATCGTGTGAACAGACCTTAATGGACCTGTCTCATAATGACTTCAAACGCAAAAGCCTGACATTACTCCCCAGAACTAACAAACCAGTGACCAGTCACACTTCGTTTTGTAACATCAGGCTTTCTGCATTTGACTTTGACGTTATTAGCAATGCGTACTGGGTTGTGCAATGCATACTGTGGATTGGCTTAGACCAAAGACACATAATACTGAAGGTGATGCCTATTCCATTAACTGTAGGTAATTCAAACAGAAATTGTTTTCTGGTTACCATTGTAAATTGTTTATGATCCAAGATGGTAAAAAATGACCAAAGGAGACAACAATGCCCAGGTGAAATCTCAAGAGAAATTCTAGACTAAAGTTTGGAAAAAGTTTAGCCTGCATAAGCAACTTATATGAAAATCCATCGGATGTAACATTTACTTATAATATTTAGAATGAATACTTCTTTCTATCCAATGGCCAGTTGTGAATTGTTAACCCATTTACTTCGGCTAACTGTCGGACAGTTAAAGCTTGGTTTTGTTGTTTAATGTCCTGAAATTTCAATACATAGTGACTCTATTATCACTGGTCAAAATGAAGATTATGAAATTAAGAGGGGGGAGTGCAACTTTCACAAATTTAATGAAATTTGAGAATATTGACCTTTTCTCTTCTCTTTTCAATAGGACAGACCACTTCAATATTGTCAATTAAACTGCTGTTTACTCTAAGGCTAGAAATAAAAGCAGAAAAATTAAATGTGAATATAACCACATTATGGAATGCAAAATCTCTGTTCACAGGTTGATGAAAGACTTGCATAATAAATTTGCAATAATCAATCATTTATGGTTGGTAATTAAGGCAAGATAGCAGGCAGTCAATACATGACTGGCCCAAGAAGCCTTGAAATCGTTGGGTACACTACATTTTTATATATAGCAAAGACCGTTGCTATATGTAACAAACTACCTGTTTGCTACCCTGAATACATGTATATCTCATTTAAACACCTGTTAAGGCGATCCAGTGGCCTAACAGCAAATTGATCTGTACCAAAATACAGTATATTCCATGGGCCTTTGTGAAAATTTGACTTATAAACAGCTATCGAAAAATATCTTAACGTTCCCGGAAAGGTATTTTTTCCAGCAAAAGCCAACATGAAATATCACCGGCGATGTAGAAGGTTATATGTCTTCGCCTTTTACAAGAAAAAAATTCACACTTTTTACAATGAAAGAGTTGCAAAAATTGTAAACAAACTCTCTAAATCACATCTACCAAAAGGGGGAATTTTGATAGGGTGTGTTCGTAGCAGAATCGTACCTTCCTCGTTGCTTTTTCTTTTCACAATCGGGACGGTTCGTTACCACGAAATCATACCGACGAAGTCGTCGTGATAGTCACTTGAAAGGGTTTAATACATATAGTCAAAGATTTCTTGGATTTCTACCGTTTTTTTTCATATTTTGGAGGACTAAAAAGTTTATCTTATGAAATTACATATAAAGGAGTATATAAGATGTAATCTATGATGTCTACAGAGCTTTTTGGGCTTTGAAAATCGCGGTTTATCGAAGTGGGAGTGATGACTGAGCCGGGAGAGCCAGGTAAAATAACTTTGAAATTCTAAGTTCCTTTGTCATAATTTCAACATTTTGACAAGATTTGTCTAGTATTAATAGGCTCTGTTATTGGCTTTCTGACGTAGCTGTTGTGGCATGATCGTTTTCATTGAATTGAACTATTCGTAACGGCTGCTAATAATGCGAGTTGCCATTTTTAAACAGTAATCAGCTATTAACCTCAACATTCTTCGTCGCTTGTTTTTGCGTGTATATGTTTAGAGATTCAATCGCGGTAGGAATGCTCTTTGTAATAAAACAATCTCGAGCAAAGCTGTGGGCGTCGTTTTCGTTTGAAAAGCACGACATTTAAATCTCAAATCCTTGCTTGCTCAGAGACAGCCAGCTAGCTGTGTACACATTATATTTATCTTGTATGGACGTCATTTACAATGCATTGTCAAGGCCATGTAATTGTCTGCAGGTGTTTCAATGCCTTGACCACAAAAACAAGTGTTCCCCCTTCCCCCCTTGAGAATACTGGCTGTGAAATTTCCTGCTTGGCAGCAACAGCGCAGTTTTTGAAGAAGACATGACCAAATAAAGCTATTTTCACACAAGACTTAAGTTTCCAATTGTACTTGTATTGTATATCTTCAATTTCATTTCTCTTGGGAGAACTCTAAATTGGAGTCATGGAAAGGAGCTTGAAGCATCTTATGTCAGGCCATTAAACATTGTCATGTCGTACATAAACATTGAAATAGGACCCTCTTTCCTATAGTCAGGTATATCTCAAACAGGTGAACCCCTAGCTGAACATTACTTTCATGTGGAGGGTTGTTAAGGCTGGTTGACATGATGATTACTCAGTTTTGAAGAGAACAAACCTTTTCCTGCACGAGTTGTGCTTAGGCATATTTCATTTGATTCATTGTGTGAACATTAATCTCTAATATAAACATGTGTTTCAGTTAAAGGTGCAACGTCATATGCATTCTCTCCCAAAGGCAAACAATCGGATGGCAAATCAAAGGTTAAACCATCTCCTTTAGAGGTCAGTGCTGTACATTCCAGTGTTATGCTGTGTTTTTGGGCAACCCAACCAATTTATGCTCCAAGACTGTGCCTTGATTTTAAGTGTGCCACATGTTTTAACTTGTAGAAACATTGTAAGCTGCAAGTTCTTGTTTAAGTCTGACATTCTAAACTGCTTGCCTTGAAAGTGGATAGCATGGATCAAGTTTTGACCGGTGACATAGTATAAAACGTCCATGGCTAATCATAGATTTAGTGTGTTAAATATTTTGTCCCGGGTTTTGCAGTTAAATCAAGTGGACGTAGGAAATGACAAAGCAAAAGAACGAGACAAGGATCAAGAAGAACCAAGTGCAAGCGCAATCACAAGGAAAGGGACAAAAATTGGTCATAGACGAATAAATGAAGATGGACAGATTACTTATAAAAAGGTATTTAGGATTTTAGGTCGTGTATTCGTCTTGATTAGATACTGAATGAACAGCATATTCATGTACTGACTAAATCTTTTTCATGTTTTTAGCAACCATCATCGGCCTTGGTGTCTGCCATTCAACTTGGTATCCAGTACTCAGTATGTAAAATCTCTACTGATTATATGTAATCTAAATATCCTCAAGTTTCTAGCAATTGCAATTTGATTCACCTGCCTTAGGTCGGTCGGCTGTCCTCGAAAGTTGAACGTGATGTATTAATGGGTGATTTCTATGAAATTGAAAGTGTATTTTTTCCCAGGTATGTGTGTGTTAAATTTACTCTTCACAGCAGTTTTTATTGAATGTTTGAAAAGTTTAGAGTCTATTAGCTGGCAGTATCAGTGTACCCAGAGATGTTTCCTTTTTTTGCTCAAATACCTGATGATATATACCTACCAGTTCTGAGGTGTAAGGATGGCTGTAAGGATGAGTTCTCTGGTTCTCATACATCACCAGCAATAGCCATTATCAGTGGTCAAATTGGGCAATTGATTGTAAAATGCTTTGTTCACCAACAATGCATATCACCCACAGTTGGTGAAACTAGAGAGCCAGACTATACTGCTGCCATTCAAATTGCTCTAATGCATTCAATGGATCTTCTTCCAACATATCATATTTCTTTACTCCCTTAGTGCTGGGCAACAAGAGACTCCTGCTCACCACTACAGTGATTTTAGATTCAAGGCATATGCTCCAGTAGCATTTAGGTACTCTACAATTCCAGCCTTCATTATTTTTAATTCCAATATTTTCGTATTTGCTAACACTCATCTTGTATTTCTCTATGATCCAATGTTTTAAAGTTTTGCTTGTTTTCTTTCAAGGTATTTCCGGGAGTTATTTCATATAGCACCAGATGATTTTTTGGTAAGCTTCTCATTAACCCCGCAACCCCCACCTCCACAGCTGTAGTTAAACCCAACTCCTTATACAGCCAATATTCTACCTACAGTAGATGTCCCTATGCCACAAATACTTTGAGACAATCTGATGCCTCCCAACTTGTATGACAACTCTAAGTCGAAACACATTTGCTGTTTTCTCTGTAAATAGCTATCATTGTGTCACGAACCGTTACGTGAGTTGTCCAATCCAGGCGCCAGTGGTTCCTTGTTCTACTGTAGTTTGGATGACCAGTTCATCATAAAAACCGTGCAACACAAAGAAGCAGAATTCTTACAAAAACTACTGCCTGGATATTACTTGGTAAGCTCCTTAGATATTTCCCAACCAAGACTGAGATCTCTACCACTCAATGAGCTTGAGTGTGGGTGAAGTTTTTGAATACAGGCATATCTCAGTGACCTAATCACCTATCTGCCATATTTCCAGAATTTGAATCAAAACAAACGAACTCTCTTGCCGAAATTTTTTGGACTATATTGTTATCAGGTACGCAAGTCTACTCTTTCAAATCAACAACGTTTTTCTTTCTTCTGACCTCAACATCAAAACTTCTGCATTCCGTTTTAGTGCGGCGGAAAAAACATCAGATTGTCTTTGATGAACAATCTCTTGCCATCTGGGTATAAAATACATTTAAAATACGATCTTAAGGTATTTCATTGCTTCTCTGTACTGTTATAGTTTTTACAAAAAATCATTTTCATTCCGTGCACAATATCTCACTAAAACCAAGCTATACAATTATAAAACTAAAACAGTTTGAACATGACTTGAGCATCTTCTTCATTTGCCGCAAGGGTTCCACGTACAAACGTAAAGCATCGAAAGCCGAAAGGGCGAAATCTTCGCCGACTTTGAAAGATCTTGATTTCATGAATGACCATCCGGATGGCTTACTCGTGGATTCTGACACATACAGTGCTTTGACCAAAACCATTCAGAGGGATTGTAGGGTAAGTTGTTTAAGAGAAAACTTTGTAAAACTTAGAGAGATCAGAACGTGGATATAGCTCATGGAATACTTAAAAATTTCGCTTCAAATTTGTTTTTGCCTCTGGAAGTGCCAGCACTTTTGAATGTGGTGGATCGCTGGGCATTATTAGATATTTACAGTAATCAAATATTTTCGTTGTAGGTATTAGAAAGTTTCAAAATCATGGATTACAGCTTGCTTTTGGCAATACATAATGTGGATGAAGCTTCCTCCGAGAAAAGAGCGGTTAGTATTTGTACTGCGGCTTCCTTAACATGGAGAATGTTGACAAAAATTCCTGGGGTGGGGGGCTAATGTGATGTGTTCGTGAGTTTTCATTCAATTTTTGGAATTTTCGAAATTTGCTTTAAATCAATAATTTCCGTAAAAAAATGCATTTCAAGTAAGAGGAAATACTTTGAACAACTTCAATATTTCAGTCAAATGCAAACAGGAGAATGAATGTAAGGTCATTAATTTTTTACACTTTTCTTTCAAGGTTCGCGGTGAAGCATCGTCTACGGTCGGTACGAAAGCGAACGACTCAGCTACGACAAATAACGGTACCGTTACGATGGTGTTCGTCAGTTCACGAGTGGCATCTTATAATGAATGAACAACTAACAACATGCTTTACTATTTTTGCCTCCTAGAAGATCGAAAGGCAAGTGAAAAGAGCACAGATGAACAAGCCAAAGTTCTTGGTTCTGCTGCAGTTGCGAGAAATCCTTCAGGCCGTAACAGAGATGATTTTGCTGCGTACTGGGAGGCGATACCCCAACATAGAGACGACACACCGTAAGTTTTTTGACGTCGCCTTCATCACTCAATGCACTTCTGATCATAAGATTGACCAAGGCTATATTAATGATTGATCTTCTATCAATTTTCCTTCATCATCCCGGCAATTTATTTACTTCGATTACAAATTGTTTTAATTGTTTATGTTGATATTTTCTTATGTTTATACTTTCATAGATATGGTGCAATACGGGCACGAAATGCAAAAGGAGATAGATTATTGCTGTTCATTGGCATTATTGATATCTTGCAAAGTTATCGGTACTTGTGACGATGTTTTAATGTTTGATGCGTGTTGTCAAAGACTTAGCAGTTTGGTTTCCTGTTAAAAATCATGTTAAAGGCAACAATCTTATAGTTGATTCATTCCTTTTTAAGTTTGAAGAAGCGACTTGAACATGGTCTCAAGTCTGTTGTTCAAGATGGGGTAGGTTTAATACAGTCATCGTACAGTATCTGACTTACTACTCTTGGAGAGACATACTCTGGATCCCACCCAATGATAATGAAGAGACTCTAGCTTGATTGTTTTTGTGAAGCAAACCGCGAATATTTTATATATTATTTGTTTAGGACGCCATATCGGTCCACCGACCTAGCTTTTACGCCAGGAGATTCCAGGAATTTATGTCGGAAAAGGTTTTCAGGAAACAACCAGGTATAGAAAACAGAGAAAACACACAGTGTATTGTATTCCATATGTTGAATATGCAAACTCGGCCTCTTGTTGCAAACTCAATCAATCTTGTTTTATCATCGCAGGCACCAAAGCGCAAATCGCGAGATCTCCATCAAAGAAACGAGCAAGTTTCAACAGGGGAAAAGAGCGAGGGAGGACCTCGTCCGACAGCGATAAACACGTCAACAGAGTCGGGGATTCTAGCAGAGGTTTTGGAAACAAAACAGTCTTGTCGCCATCACTAGATGCTGGCTTAGCAAGTACGAAATGCATGAAAAATTACGATGTAAATTATTGCAATAAATACATGAACTGATAACTTGTTTTTCCTAGATGTTGTTCCTGGCGATGTTTCCTTCATGGGTGGTGGAGGTCGATCACTTGACGTGACAAAAAAGTCTCCCGAAACACCTTTGCCTGCTCACGACGTATCCACGGATTCCCACAAGGAGTCAACGATCATGGACGACGAGTCGACGATCACCACCGACCAATCGACGATAACGCACGAAGTATCAAGACTCGAACATTCCGTAACATTTCAGGACGAACATTTGTCAAGCAGTCCTGAAGTTCATGAAACAGATGGAAATTCAAAACAGACGAGCTTAGCGAATGATGATCAGGCAACTGAGCTAAATCCAAGCGCATCTAATGTCATTGCGATTACTCTCGATAATGAACCGAGCATTCCGAATGCCTCCGATGACGCACCGAGTACATCTAACGATGTTGTTTCAAATATGCCCGATGTTATTCCGAATACGTCCAATGTCGCTGCGCGAACGTCCAATGATGATACGAAGATGTCCGATCTTATTCCGAACACTTTCGATGATGTTCCAACGACCTCCGATGTCGTTTCAGACATTCCTGATAACGATCACGAGGCCACGGCTGATGTACAAGAAATAAACATTAATGTTAGTGGTAATTTCGGAGTACCGGAAGTTGAAGAACGAGATTTTCAGAGACAATCATCAACCGATAGTGAACCTTGTGTGTCGGACTCGAAAATATAAGGTTAGGGTATTTATTTTCTATTTAATTTTTATTCATTGACGAGATGCGTCCATGATGGGAGTCACGCACTCACAGCATAAATCTTTCGCGTTGTAAATTAGTTTTCTGGCTTGTGCGGCCCATTTGACTAATAAGAAGCACGCGTTCGCAAACTACGTCACAGCTGAGGTATTTGAGAGGTCTCGATCATGGATGGACCATGTTGCTAAGTACCAAAGCTGAATTGTCTTTTGCTTGTGTAGGTTCAGCTGTTGCTATGCAGCCGTGACCTCCGAGGATGAGCGCTGTGGACTAGGTGTAAAAGAGGGACATGTAGGGAAATCATCGTTGGTGTGTACCAGTTTATCCATGAGAGTCCACTGCAATACAAAATCTGGGATAAGACTTGAGTACCGTGTGGTAGAGAGGTACAACGAGGGAGGTACAGTGTGAGAGAGGTGCAATGAGGGACGTACAGTGCAAGGCTCGCTGTCTGAGTGATAACATCACGTTAAGGCCATGTTACACAGTGCAATGCTTTTAATGCAATTTGACATGTAATTTATAATAATAATCCACATTTTGCAATGACACGGAAGACGGGTGATTTCGTGTAATATTTTGATAAATGTGGTCAAGCTTCCGATGTTTAAATACCGACACTTGCCTAATCAGGGGCCGGTTGTTCGAAAGATGGATAAAGCCTTCAAATAAAAAAAACCTTCAAATTCTTCACCATTTGGCACTGCCACGATTGAACTTCATAATTTTGAAGTTAAAAAAGGTTTGGATAGTTCTAATTTTAGAGATATTTACGACGGTTGAAAAAATCACTATCTAGTGTCCACCTTTATCCAGTGATATCCGCCTTTCAAACAACTGGCGCCAGGGCTGGCTCAGGCGATGCGACTGTCTAACATGGTCTTTAGAACTTTTCCAATCGTTACTATGTTCGAGGTAACCGCTGTGTAGTATAAACGTATAATAAAAATAAAATGATAGATATATTTTTGTGCATGACACGCGTTGTGACAGGGCTCTAAGATAAGATCGTCGATAAACCTATCCCCCCCCCCCGTGCAGAGCCACTTTCATGACCATTCCAGTTGATTCGTGCATCGAGGTCTGAGAACGAAAGTCGGATAGTCGGAGCGTAATGTACTGTAATTAGAGAATAATTTTTATAAAATTTGGGTTATTCCTTTGGTCCTCTATTACCGATTTTACCGAAATCTTAAAATTTTTTAAAATATGATTTTATGTGTTTAAATATCTTGTTTTCATCTAAGAATGTCATTCCACTTACATTCGAAGCATTCACTGAGGTTGCCTTGGACGCAGCTGGCTTTACTGAAGTTGGAAATAACTTTTTTGTGAGATAGCCTTTCAGCATTTTGTTAACTCGAAAACATCGCCATTATATTTGATTAGGAGCATCATCTGTTTATTCTGATTTCTGCACGCAAAGTACCCAAGTACCATGCAAGTACATGAAAAATCACAAGCAAGTCATCCAGGTGTTTTTATAGCTCAGTGGTGGAAACTCGTTCCAGTTTCCCACTTGATAACGAAGTGTTGATTATTTTGCTTATCAATATGGTGGTCTTAGTTACTCCAAGTTTTTATATTTATTGTATTTTTAAAGCTGGTATTTAACTTGTTTTAGTAAACGGTGATGTACATTTCATTCAGTGTATTATTGTAACGGACATTGTAACGGAATTGTTTATAGCGATCTTCATTTATAACAAATGTAATATTCTGGCAGAATCGAGTCAATCGACATACAATATAATATATTTTGTTTCTTTATGGAGGTAAGAAATCAAGTTCATTTTGCAGCAGATGAATTTGATTTGGCGCGTTTTATACGAGTTGTTGATTTGTTCTTGACATACTAAATATTTACTTTCTAACATCAATTTTAAAGGATGATGATTTTGGATCAGAATTTGGCTCAGTCATATCACTGGTAAGATGGAAATTGAATGAGGGCATATTAAGGTCTATTATGCAAGCGGTCCATTGTTGAAACAAATGTGATTCTGAACTAATGATAGAGATGTTTTTATTTAGCAAAGCTTGGATGACAGTTCACAGTATCAAGGTATACTTTTCTGAATAATGTAAGGATAACATTTATCATACTCATGTTTATTATAGTTATATTCCCTTTGTGACTATATTTGAATAGAAAAATCAAAGCACTTGAAGAAATCAAAAGGCAAAGGTATTCTACTTATTGTATGGTTTTGATTTTCAAACTGATTGAAAATATCAGTTTTAATTTGGTTTTAACATACATACTATAATGCATCCAATTGAATATCCATTACTTACAACATATGGAAACATAAACGGTTTTACTTGTTTGTCAAAGTGTTATTGTGAGAAGTTTATGCATCTTAATTCAATGAATATTTAGATCGCCAACCTTATTTTTCACAATCATCTGGAAGTCTAAGCACAAGAACTGGCCCAAGAAGAACCGGTCATGAAGCTTGGTCCTCCGCCATTAGAAATGGCTTTACAGGTGCATGATTTAGCAATATTAATTATAAAAATGGTTCAGGGTTTCATCCAAAAATTCTTAATGCTAAATTGATTATACTTACATATAACTGCATTCTAATAAAACCAGGAAGCAGCATCTTCAAACAACTTTGCATCAAATGTGGTACAACAACTGCCTAAATAGAGAAAAGCACTTCTCGACATTTTGACCCACAGACCATCATTAGGAGAGTTAGTATCACTATAGTTACGAGACAAGATCTAATATGGAAATCCCCTAGAAACATTGAGAAGTGTTTTTGTCTATTTCAGGCAGTTGTTATTCAACATCTGAAGCTTCATATATAATTCCAATCTAGGACTCAGTTCTGAAAATTCACCTGCAAACCGAATGGGCTCACCACAAGTTCAACGTAAAGGAAAGAGTCGCTCTTCCACTTCCGTTGGTCCGTTCTCGCGAGGTAATTAAGAAGACGTGTAGCAAATTAGTAGGCATACAAATATTTCTGATTTATTTCCATATCCGTTCTTAAGATGAACATATTTTGGCCAGTGGTAAACCTGCCTATAAATCCCCAGAAGATTACTATGATGATATCATGGAATTAAGACAAGTGATTAAGGGATTGAAGACTGATAATGGAGTCCTCAAGACCAAACTACAACGAATCACGCAGGAGAATGTCCTGAAGGTATAATCAACCAAATTTTAAAAAATTTACACTTTATATGATCAGTGAAAAAAACTTGGTCCTTTTCTCAACGACTTCTAGGATCGTCAAATTAAAGATTTACTTAATCCAAACAAACAAGTACGTAAAACCGTTATTTCACTTGGCATTTCTAACCTGTTGTGGTTGAGCACATATTGACAGTTTTTCCTCTTTTTTATATTAGCCTGACGAGATTAGACGAACCCTTACAGATAAAAACTCTGATTCAAGTGCGATTGTCTCTAGTTTGAAGCAAAAGATTCATCTCATGGAACGCAATGTGAAAGACAAAGAGAGTGAATTGCGGTAAGTCGGAATGCTTAAATTTAAGATAATCCCAAGGACCGTGGGGTTTCAACCTCCACATTTTATTCACCCAGGGCCACTTTAATTATGCCTAATTTGAGTGGTTTCTAGTCACTAATTTATTGGGTTGGTGATTGGCTCTGGTTGAAACCATTCTTGCTTGTAGGTAATCCTGCACTACTGAAGTTGGTAGGAAATATTTTCAGTGCAGGAGTTTTCTATCTTTTATGTGCACAAATTACTTTGGAACAAACGTGCTTAATTAACACTTTTTGTTAAGAAAACTCAAAAGTGATCTCAAATCAACAAACATTGATGAACTCCGTATTCAAATGGAAACTTATTATGAAGAAACGCAGAGATTACAAACAGTTTTATCCAGTGTCTATTCCCAAGTTCCTGGGACAAGAAACATTTCTGATTCAAGGTATTTCACCTAAGATTAAACCTAAAATTACTCTATTACAGTGGTCAGCCCACCCATGTACCCACTGGGTCTTGCATGCTCTGGATTCTGAAATATTCACTTACAGGTTAAGTAGTAGCAGATCCTCAAGTGTCATGAATACTCCTCCTCGCCGTGGTGGAGTGGAGAGAACTGATGAATATGACGATCAGCTCAAGTGTAAGCTCAACTTATCATTCCCGGATTCTAAGGTCAAGGGGAGGGGGCCCCCACCCCGCCACCCATAACCACCCCCACCACCCATAGCCACCCCCACCACCCATGCCACTCCCACCACCCATAACCACCCCCACCACCCATAGCCACCCCCCCCCCACCCATAACCACCCCCACCACCCATAACCACCCCCAACACCCCCATGACTTTGAGGTATTGAAATGAGTATATAACATAAACCTGGTAATCGTGTAGTCACCCAAAACAATAGCATTTGGTTGTTTTGCTTCATTAAGACTTATTCCAATACCTCAAGATCATCTCACGCTTCGTTGAATCACACGGGTAACCGGGCTCATGTGAACTGCCCCAAACTATGAGCCGTCTTTTTGAGATGAATTGAGGGTTTGGCAAATTTTATAGATGAGAACCAGAGATTGAAAAGCGAAAATCAAAGTTTAAAGAAGGACTTGCTTTGTGCCATCGACAGCCAACGAAACAAAGACAACGCGACAAAAAATAAGAACGGTAAAGTGACACATGAGATCTTTCAAAATATGGATTATGCTTTAGCACTTTCATTCAGTTTCTTCAGCTTTGCATAAATTTTTTGAAGCGGCAGAGACGAGGAGTTGAAATGTTCACTCAAAAACGATGCATACGTGTTTTCGTGCGAGCTCTGGTCCGGGCTTAAAATAGTTTTGCTTTTCTTGCAGTCGACATTGCTGATATGAACCGACTGCAGATGTTGAGGAAAATCGGTGAACTTGAACAAGTATGTGTCCGCGGTAATAACATTTGGAAATGTGGATTTTTTAAGGATGGAGTTATAATGAAACACATTCGAGTCTGAACATGGCTACAAACGTTCTTTCTAATTCTTTTTAGGCATTAGAAGATGGCAAAGCAAAACAGAAAAGTGGACCAAAGGAGTCAAAAAGATCTGGTAAGCTAAACATGCACAAGTGTAAGATCATAGACGATTGGTTGACTGGCTGTGAGCTGGCCAATCAATCGAGCTGTTAGTTGTCTGCGGCCGGTTGTATCAAGCCCGTTTAGCCTAAACGGCTGATAAGTCAAAATTAAATAACACTATTACATATCTCTTGAATGAGTCAACTTGAATTTTATGCACTGATTATGTAGTTGTAAACAGTATCTTTGTATTAAGGTAAAAAACCTTTAGTTTGCTTGTTGAATAAAACGATAGACTTGTTTTCTATTTTGAGCTTATCCACCGTTTAAGCTAAATGGGCTTGATACAACCGGCCCCAGGAAGCCAGACGGTTTATTGAAATATTGTAGGATTTTCTTTCTTTATAATCTAGGCGAAGATCCTGAAACAGAGTTACGTAAACAGCGTGGTGTTATTGAAAATCTCAAGCAAGACAGAGCTCATTACCGCGAAGAAGCTGAAAGTCTAAGGTTAGTTTTGCCAACAGACTTTGAGTATTGCTGGGGTTCATGTCAGTTGGAATAAAGTCATTCGTCCAAGACTTTGCTATCGAAAAAAAAACATTTGTTATCATTAGAGCGAAATTAGAAGCTGCCGAAGATGAGATCTCTGAACTGAAAGTCAAACTACGAAAAACAAATGATGAGAATAGGGAAAGGTTGCAGGCAAAAGATGAATATAGACGCGAAAGAAACATGGAAGACAAGGCCAGTTCCACGATATCTCCTCCAAGACCAACGCCAAAACAACGAAATAGAACTGGGTATGTCACGAGACAATTATGATGTTTACATTGCTTTTAGTTTTTGTTTTTGTGAAGCTGGGATATGCAGTAACTTCCAATCCAGGTACTCTATGGTGTATGTTTTATCCGTGCCTCGATCTAGGTCCATGAAGAAAAGGATTAGTTTTCATGAAGATACCATGAAAGATGAAAAACAAAAAGGGAAATTCACTCATAAAGAAGACGGGGCAGCCAGAGTGTTGCAGAGAAATTGGCGATCGTACAATAACAAGAAAAACTCCCCCCGTGATGATGATGACATCGTTCAGCTCCAGTCCGCTCTCCGTGCTCATGCCATCCGACGTCAGCGTGTTGAGTTACTAGGTAACGGTCACTATGAAGTTGAAGAAGACTTGGAATGGGACGATGCTGTCACTAGGGTCCAGTCTGCAATGCGTGCGCATCATGCCAGGCGGAAGTATTATTCATACGCTGAGAAATATTCGAGGTAAATTATGATGATACATGCAGTAATTTAATAATTCACTGCTACTTAATGAATGGTTTTAAACTAATCTCGAAATACCTAATCACGGGATGTTCCCCGTACCTTCGCTTAGGTGGAGGTAGCGCGGTTCCTTCTCCCCGCCTCTTTTTTTACTGTCGTGGATTTTTAGTGTAAAACTATTGTAATTATAGTGGTCGTTCAAGAAGCGAGCATTCTGATGAATCAGACATCGCCGATAAGCGAGGGAAAAAAAGAACATTTAAACAACAGTCGTTCTTGAAGAAATCGGACAAACGAATCTCAGGTGCCGCCATTGAAAGATTTTAGTTCTTCCTGTTTAGTTTTTCTTGTTTTTCTCTACTCTCCTCATCACAAGAGGAAATGCTTAGTAAAACTGATGTCTTCTTTTTGTCATTCTCCCCTGCAGAACCAAGATATGCCAACGGTTCGGTGGTTAATCAAGAGGAGAGTGATAATGATAGCGACGATGATGTTGTGATTGGGGGATCGCGTCTTAACCTAAGAAACGATGGAAAGAAATCATCCATGTTTAGTGATGAAGGTTTATTTCAGCTTCATATGCTTCTTATTGCCTCAGGTCTTTGTATTGTCTGCCAACACTGTTTAAGGAAATTATTTTTAATGTTTAGCGTCCGTTAGGGGGAAGAAATCCTCAACAAGGATGGAGAACAGTCTATCAAGAGACGCTCGAAGGGATTGGAAAAAAGAAATCAATTCTGAAGACAGCGACGATGATAGCGTTCAAATGCCAACCAGGTGAATAACGGCCACTAAAATACACGCGATTTATTGAGTTAGGACGTGAAAGAGCGGCCAGCAAGCGTGAAGGAATTCCCCTTGGCTCTTTCGGAAAACACCGCTGCAGGAAACGATGTTTGTGCCTATTACTAAGAATGATAAAAATTTTAGATTTGGGAAGTCGGTTTCAACCGTCAAAGAGAAGTCGCCTGACAAAAATGGATTTTCATTCGGCAACAACGCCACGCGAAAGAAAGTGGATGAACAGAAGATGCGAAATTTCTTTGGGAAAGAGAGCGAAGAGAAAGGTTTTCAAAACAAGAATGGTACATCTACTAAGATTCATCAAGTGTTGGACAGTTTTAATGCTGATTACGTCATAGTCAGTCATGACGTCATGCTTTTGGGGACCATCCACTGACCTATACTCTGGTGTCAGTGGATTCATCCCTTCTCAGCAATTCTCAAATAGTTGTTATCGTTGTGTCCATGGCATTAATATTGAGGAGGAAACCTGTAGCAAACAGGCTTTGTTTACATTAATCAGTATGATTACCAGCTCCCGGCATAGTAAGTTCACGAGAAACATTGATAGTGACTTTCTTAAGTCCTTTTTCCTCCTCTCTTCCAAGGTGCAAAGACCGAATCATCTTTAGACAATTTTTTCATCTCATCTCGAGCATCAAAAGCGCCACAAAGTTTCGACAGCCAGGCTGGAAGCGATCCTGAAAGCGAGGTGAATTCTCGGGAGAAACGCAAGGATGAAATGGTGGAGGAAAAACCTAAGAAATGTGGGTGAAAGATTGTCGAATTTACCGCTAAGAATTCTTGTCTTGCGAAGTTTAATCCGCTCCTAGTGAAAGAATAATGTTAATACAGTTCTCAGCTCCAAGCACCAGTTAAGCATTCATCCAGGGTTAACATGGCTAAAAGAATATTTTGGATTTTTTAGCTTTGTTTTCTTGGGGAAGTACAAAGCGAAACAATAAAAATGTAAGTACTTGTTTTTGTTAGCAAACTACGATTACTGACAGTTGAAAGTTTAAGATTTGTTTAACACTCCAGTTTTCTTTTTATATCAGTTTTTTATATCGCAGGTGCCCGTTCCTCCACCTCGTAAAAAGACCACGTCTGATGAAGTGAGTTCAAAATCTGCAAACGTTTGGTCTTCGCGTCCTTCGGCAACGCTCGGCGACGACGATGATGACGATGATGATGATAATGACGTCATTGTGACTCCGAAGATTTCACGAAAGAATCCGACAAAGACCGCCTCGTTACTGGATGAACTGTTTTGATCAATAGTCACTATGAACTGTTTAGTAATGTAGTATCTAAATAACCCAATATTTATTTGAATGTATAAAGATATCGATATTTATAAAGAAGACTATAAAATCAAATGCAATTTTACCGAATGTCTAGATACGTTGAGAATTGGATGACATTTTGCGATGACAATTATTCTTCAAAAAAAATGCTAAGAAAGGGTTTTTTCGAAGTGTTCAATATTTCGTGCGGATGGCAGCAGCGTTTGATGCGCCATAGGATGACCAGGTGAACTCTAGTACGCGGGCGCAGTTTCAGTTATTTTGCAAAAATTCAGTATCCGGCTATTTCTGTGCAAGTGGAAATCCAGTCTTCGTTTGGGTCTTCAAGACCATGCGTTTGGGCAAAATGCAATACGAGGCATGATGAACAAACCAGCAAATAATATTCGAGTGTCAAAATTTGCATGGAAAAAAATCCACGCACTCAATCATGCTGCTTCTAGAATCTAGAGCACTTACAGTATGCACGATCGATCATCACTCCAAAACTTTTGATGATATCTGGCTTTTCAGATACCATCCATGTCAGCATGATGTACGAGTTCGTGTTGAGTAAAGTAAAGAATAAAGATGACAGCGTGTTCGCCAGCTAATGACTTGGCATAGAAGCGAATTCAAATATATCAGTTCGAGTATATTTGACAACTCGTATCCTGAATTTACAAGTGCTGACTCCGTTTCTTTTAAGTGTAGAATCAATCGAAAACTCGACCAAGGAGATTGCGCTTGTCTGAACTATATAAACATTATCGTTAGAAATCAGAATCGTGTCGACGGTAACGGAACAAGCATACGATACCACATGTTGCATTTGTAATTTGATATATTTTACATGGCGTAATATATTGCCGTGTTATCCTACTTATCCACATGTATACTATATTAATCGCTCAATATTTCATCCTATTACGGTACTCCTATATTTATATACGTATACGCACTTTCTAATTTTTTTCGTATTCTATGCATGGCTATTGTCAAAACATTTTTTTTTAACTTCAATAACGCATACGTCTTATTGGAATTGCAGTTTCGATTCCCGCGTAGTTGCGTCATTCTTGTAACATTATCAAACATATAATGTGTACTCACTTGAAACATGATATCGCAGGTATATTGTGCTCCAAGCATTCAACGGCTTCCGTCCTCACGCCCTATTTTGAGCATAAAGTTTACGTCTACCACGCAGGATCGTGTTGTATTGAATGATAATAGGCCAACTATCGCGGAAACAGTTCGGTAAAGCGGATTAACCATAAAAGATGTCTTCTTCTTCCAAATCGAACATGGTAATCGACGATGGTATTCGCAGCAAAGCAAGGAACAACAGGATGATAATCTTTGTTGTAGCCGTGGTGTTTGTCATCATAATAGTTGGCGTGCTATCGGGTGTGCTCAGCGCAAACAGAGAAAAGGATAAATGCGATGAACGGGTTAAAGAAGCTGTCCGCGCTGCTAAAGAAGGAGCTGGAGGTGAAAATGCCACGAAATCTCCTGAACCCACAAAATCTAAAAGTACAAAACCGCCCATAACCACGAAGCCTACCCCAAAAACTACCCCAGCGTCAAACGAACCATGGGATGAAATACGTTTACCAAGCGACGTGGTTCCAATACATTACGACATGCTCATAAAAGTCTACCTAGACACTTTGAATTTTTCTGGAAATTCTAACATTTCCATCAATGTATTGAATCCAACGGACAAGATTTTGTTTCACATCAATAAGATCAATATTACTAAAGTGACTGTTGTGAAACTCGACGGAGTATCGCTGAGTATTAAGAGAGAATTTTCCTCCCCGAAAAGGCAATTTTATGTCGTGATCCTTGCAAAATCTCTGACGGCTGGAAAGTATACATTGATGTTGGATTTTGTGGCGAATATCGAAACCAAAGAGCTGAACGGATTCTATAAAAGTACATACAAGGATAGCTCAGGAAATGAAAGGTTAGCCCTTCATAAGCGCCCGCCGCCAGCAGTTATTTTGGCGCGAATCAATATAAAGCCTACACCGTCTTCCAATGCGCATGTATGTAGTGTGTTGTTTGAGAAATCTGGCTTGCTGGTGCGTTTGGTCGTGTTTATAACCTGTGCATTATTGCCTCTTTATCAGTCATTCTACGCGTGCTAAAACAACAGCATTGAGGCAGCTTAAACATTTGAATGCTCAATAAAACAGGCGATAATTCGTAGGAATTAAGGCAGCCTCCTATTTCGTTTAATCCTATTGAAAGCGCATTAAAATAGTAAATATTCACCGAGGCCTCTCGTCTATTTTTTCTCCCTTTCTACAAGAACGGTTTAAAAAAACAGGTGGTTATAATTAAGTCGTATATATAATTATATATAAATATATAATTGACTGTGTAACTGACAAAAAACACAAATTTTAATGTGCAAAGAGGCAATTAATAGGGTATCTACCTATTGGTAAGAAAATACGGAATTAGTGGTAAAGAATGGTGCGTACGCAAGGTTTGGTGTTCAAGAGTGATATCAATTTACAACGATTTCACAACCGACCGACACTTCGGCGAGTTGATTTACTTTAATTTACATTCCAGAAGTGGTTACCCGGTAACGGGACTTGAATAAAGAAAGGAGGTCACGTTGAGAAGTTTACGTTTTTGCTATGTGTCGTCGGCAAGCCTGCAACGTAAATATTTCGCGCTTGAGACACAGCTGGCTACATGAACTAGGATCCCCTTTGTTCTTTTCCAAGTATTAAGACCCTGCGTTTACTCCGTATAGAACACATTTGTCTTGGGATCTGCTTAAAAGTTTTTCCTGGAGTTCTCTGTCTTCTGTTAACGCGGGAACAACAGAACTAAAGAAATGAGAGACTCCATAACACTAAACAGGACAAGTTATCGTGCAAACACTCAAGATAGAGGAAAATTTTGACGGTTCCGTGTATAAAACAGATCTAGACGGAAAGGGACCGACGTATATTTCGGCCAAATTCTTCAGGTCCTGTGTAAATGTAGCAAAAAGCAGCAATAAACGGGCCTTGACATGAAAATTTCTAAACTGTTCTTCCCTAAAAGTGATGTTATTTGAAGATATACGTTAGTTGTATGTTGTAGTATTTGTTTGAACAAATTTGAACAAACTTTTTAACTTTAAGTATATTACACCCCATAGAGTACTTGCAGCCACTGACTTTCAACCTACTGACGCAAGAAAAGCATTCCCTTGCTTCGACGAGCCGGCTATGAAGGCCACGTTCACCATCAGCATTGAACATCGTGATGACTACACAGCACTGTCCAATATGAACCAGGTCTCCTCAGTGGGTGTTGGAAATAACCGTCATTTAACACGTTTCGCAAAGTCAGTCCCCATGCCAACTTACCTGGTGGGGATGATCGTCTCGGATTTCAAGTATCTAGAAGATAAGACAGGCGAGCATGGTAACATTACGGTAAGAAGTCTCTTCTAGTCTTCTTAAGGTCTAGCTTGTGCTTAAGGGGAGGGCGGACACTTGTTTTTTGGGTTGCGGGAAAATATGGGTAATATCTTTCCATGTTCAGTGAATCCTAAATAGGCGAATGTAACCCTTAAGATTACCTTAGGATTAAGATTAGTTTTATAATTGGGGTTAATCCTAGTCAACTATAAACCTAATGTAAAACCTAATCCTAATCCTCCCAAAGATTAAATTCGTGTATTTAGGGATGACTGACCATGGACCAGAATGTGTCACACCTATAAGAGATGATGATTCAATATTATTATGAACTTAACTTGATGTTTCAGCTCCGTACCTGGGCCACACCTTTACAATATAATGATTCAGACTATGCATTGAAAATTGGAAAAAATGTGACAACGTATCTTGAGACGTATTACGGAGTGCCGTTTCCCTTACCTAAACAAGGTAATGATTGACTTGCTGTGCTGTTGACCGGGGATAACGGAAAACACTTTCTCGCTCCGCGCCGGTTATGCCCTTGTTTTTTGTTGACTAAGTTTCAGCACCACTGACTCATAAAGTTATGTCACAGTAGAGTCTCTCTGGGGACCTGTATATAGTTGCCTAAAGTGTCTTTAGTAGAGAGTTGGGTATGTCAAAATCTGTGGTCTAATTTACATTAGAAACGGATCATTGCTCATCCGTCTGGGCGATGAAACTATAGTACAATTTATGTGCAGTATCTTCACAGTATACATGTGCTATTAAAGATGTTCTAATTGATAGATATGGTTGCTCTACCCGACTTCAACTCTGGGGCGATGGAAAACTGGGGCATAATTACATATCGGGAAACTGCGATGTTGTATAAACCGGGCGTGTCGTCTGAGACGAACAAACAAAGAGTTGCTCTGGTGGTTTCTCATGAGTTAGCACATATGGTAAGGACGTGGGATGCTAAGGTTCTAGTTTTCTTGCTGGATCCGGATGCGAAATTCATATATATATTCAGTTCTGCCCAACAGATTTCTATTGTAAGCTATTGCACTTACAAAAGAAATCCGTCGAACAGAACTGAATATATGAATATTAACACCCCCCCCCCAATTATCGTTCTAGTTACGCCCCTGAGTACAAACTGCTTAACAATTCTGCCCAACCCAAGGTGTGGCCTACACTTCCTCCCCGCCTCGTACATCTTAAAAAGATGTTTGACACTTTATCAGAATATTAACGTGCTTTTTCCGTAGTGGTTTGGAAACTTGGTTTCTTGCAAGTGGTGGAACGATATTTGGTTGAATGAGGGATTCGCAAGCTACGTGGAATATCTTGGTGTTCATGAGGCAGAACCTGACTGGGAATTTGTAAGTAGTCGAGCAGAGTAGTCGCTGTCTCAAGGGTAAATCTTGCAATAATTGAGTTTTCTCATATCGGGAATACGAAGAACGATCTTTTTTTCTTTTTTGTAGAAAGAACAGTTTTTGACAAGTGATCTTCATCGGGCCTTTAGACTCGATGCGCTTGCGTCTTCTCATCCGATACAAGTGGAAGTCAATGACCCTGAAGAAATAAAGACTGTTTTCGATTCCATAACATACAGCAAGGTTTGTAAATCTTACAACAGTATTTAAAAATAAGAAAAGTTAACTAGTCGGCTGTCACTGTAATGTAACTTGTAGTTTTGTTTTTAGGAAGTAGTTGGGTAATTTAAGTTTGTGGAGACGAGCACGATTCCTCATTTCGCATCAAAAGCAAAAACAAATGCTTGCCTGAACGTGGTTTCTTAAAATAATTTGGGTTTTTTCTACTAGGGTGCATCAATTATCAGAATGTTGTCAGATTTCCTGACTGAGGAGAAGTTCAAAGATGGTTTAAAAGTTCGTAGTCCAATATATACTTCCATAGAAATACAAACGCTTGCCTGTTCTTAAAATGAATAATCGTGCAGCCTTTTATTGACGTTGAAAATTGACACTTAACTATGTATTTAGAATTATCTCATCGTAAACAAGTTTGGCAGCGCTGAAACGAAGGATTTATGGGCCGAACTTAGTAATGCAAGTAACTTATTTTGTTTGATTTTATCATCCATGGGACCAAAAGACGAAATAAGATTAAGGGGGGGAGGATACTTTCCTCCACACGAGGTGTTCGTGAGGATGCGAGTGGTGCAGGCGAGATATCTTACGACCATTAATTGTATGATACATTCACTCCCCTTTGACAAGGAAAAAGGTGGTCAAAAAGTCTATTTTGACTTTTCTATGACGAACATCCTGCTAAAAGATTTTACCTCTGCATATCTGTCCCCTGTGAATATATCGCAAAATTAACATTTGATTGCCTTGCAGAGATCTAGTTATAATGTCACAAACTTAATGGAAACCTGGACAGAACAGATGGGATATCCTGTGATCAACATTACCAGAGCTGGGTCAGGCAAAGGAAATGCCGACCAGAAGCATTTTCTTCTTGATCCAAAGGCCAAGGTTACCGAACCCTCGCCGTTTAAGTAAGGCACGACCTTTAAAATGACTGTAATTGTATGACTTTCACGTTGTTGCCAATGGATGTCAATCTAGCTCCTCCATTTCTTCATGTTTTTAGCTACAAATGGACTGTCAAATTAAACTACATTACTGAAGGCAACTCGAATGTGAAAAATCAGAAAATAGTTTGGATGAACAGAAGTTCAGGTATGACTGAAGTAAACTGGTTTAACTTAATAATAATCGCCTATTTCTCGGCGAAAATCCGCCATTTCTAGGTCACTCTCACTCCCAGGTATAAATAATTGTGAAATGCTGTAAAATAATGATTCACAGATAAAATTATCTTAATAGAATTAGTAGGCTTGAAGTACGTGGCTTGCGGACACACTGCGGGAGAAACCTCTCCCCCAAAACACAAAATACAGAAGAATACGTATAATTTTTCATCTATACCCAAATTATTTTATCTATACACGAATATTTCCCACTGTGATTGAAGACTAACATGTGCAGTACTCCTTTCAAACACTAGCCATAAAATAATGACATTTTGTAGCCATAAAATAATGATATTTTGTGATATTTTTAGTCCAATTCGACTGGCCTAAAGGCGAATGGATAAAAGCGAACGTCGGGCAGTATGGATATTACAGAGTGAATTATCAGAGAGAAAACTGGGAACAACTATCAAACGTTTTAAAAAATAATCAAACGGTATTTCATACATCGAGTGATTACGTCTTTGTGTATATACAATTCCATTCCTTTTTTTACCCATTACCTGCCAAAGCTTCTTTAACCTAACTATGAGGGGAGATATATTAACTTTAAAAGAGTTCTATGTATAAACGTTCGCCAATATCTTAAAACCGTTTCAGGTACTATCGTCTGCTGACAGAACTAGTTTGATTGATGATGCGTTTAATCTAGCGAGGTAAGTTTAGATTACCTTAATCCCAATAATTTAAGGATGCATCTGAAGTTTTAAACCGTTCTTGCCGGGATTTCAGAGCTGGTCAACTGGACTATGACATCCCTCTTGATCTCTCTTCGTATATAAAAGACGAGGATAGATATGTACCTTGGAGGGCATTTATGACAGCTATTGGTTTTGTTGATACAATGCTGAGTACTCAGGACTCCTTTGGGAAATTCCAGGTACGAAATGAAGAGTAAACGCACGTGTGCAGATAGGAAAATATCCCAATTGATTTTTCATTGGTATTTATACGCTATTTTCTTTTAGAAATATATGCTTGATATTATCTCGAAAAAAATAGTTGATGTTGGATGGAAAAACAAAGGAAACGACAAACATTTAGAAGTGTAAGTTGGTTGTATTGTCTTTTCAAGTTACCTATACCAGCTTATAATAGAGGTGGTATATATAAAATGCTGTATACATCCTGCACAAGTTAACCTGTAAAAATGCAGTAATTACTTTGCTCCAGTGAATTCTGTTCCTGGTATAACAATTTCATTTTTATATTTTAGATATATGCGCAGTTTGATATTAAGCGCAGCTTGCTCTTACGGAAATGAAGAAGCCAACAAAAAGGCAAAAAATTTGTTCTTGGGATATCTTAACAAGTATGTAAATTGTCCTCGATTGTTTGAACAAATGAAACACTACAACTCTTGTTGTTTGATGCTGTAACCTTGTTCCGTGCGAGGGATCTTATATTTTCAGATATTTATTTATATAGCAATGAAACTCTTGACGTTGATTTGAAGAGCATGATTTATTATCATGGCATCGCCAATACTGGTTACGAAGAATGGGACAAGTTGTTCGTGAAATTTCTCAACGCGACGGTTGCGTCAGAGAAAAGTAAATTGCTTTATGGCTTGGCAGGCTCGAAACAGCCGTGGGTTCTTCAAAGGTGAGTTTAATTCGTTTTCTTTCTCAGCTAAACTAAAACTTCTACAGCTAATAACCCGGTCTGTTGTGTTACTCTAAAGCCTAACCTTAATCCAACAGCCAGTTTATTTCATCACATACATCGAACGAGGAACATTGCACGTTCTCATTGAGGCAGTGTAACGTTAGCATACTTACAGTAGGCATTTCCGGAGCAAGCATTGTGTTCTTGGCGATTCGGCTCTAGTTTTATTTTGATGTCTATTTTCGGCTGCAATTTGTTTTATTTCGTAATTCGTTTTATTTCTATTTTCACAAGTAACAAGTCGGTAACTCTTCTCAAATTAGATCACTAAACGAAATCATAAAAGTCATAAATTATAATAATTATAATTGTAATATTCGATGAATGATGAACAACAGAAACTGAAATATTTTCCAGGTTTTTGCGCTATTCTATTCAAAAGGATAAGGTTCGCGACCAAGACACCGTCACCGTTGTCAGTTATGTGGCAAGAAATGTTGTGGGGCGAGATTTAGCATGGAAATTCTTGAAGGAAAACTGGGACATTTTTTACGACAGGTATACATTAACAACCGATTTTTCTTAATCTGTTTTTCCTAATGGATTTTCAACCCTGTGGAGCTAGGGTACCTACCACAGGGACTCTAGAACAACAGTTATAATAGCTTTTATATTCGGGTCAGGTTTCGCTGAGGTATCTGTTCTGAGCGGAACATTTTTCCGAGAAAATATAGCACCAAAAAAGAGCACCAAACAGTCCAAACTGGCAGCGATGATCCCGAAACACAGAAATATTTAAACTCTTGACTCTTGGTTGTTTTAGATACGCCAAAAGTAGTTTCCGATTTGCGACCGTTATCACATCCACAACATCATGGATGAACACTAAGATTGACCTGGAAGATGTAAGAGTTTGTTTTCGTTGTATAATTTTAAACCGTATAGATATATATCATTGCTCCTGAGCGCGGTTTTAGAGTTGCAGCCGAAAATTAATTACCTGATTTACCTCGCGTGATAAGTTTAATATATGTCTAGCATTGATCGTCTTTTATTTATCAGGTTAAAGCGTTCTTCAAAAGTAGGAAAGATTTAGGGTCTGGTAAAAGGTCTGCAGATCAAGCTATTGAACGTATTCAGTCTAACATAGAATGGGTGGAAAGAAGCACCAAAACTATTGCTGATTTTCTGGACAAAAACTGACAAAAAAAGGTACCTTGGACCTTTAGTATATTTGCATTCACGATGATCGAGGATTTAATTCTAACTAAATAACATCTTTCATTCATTTTAGAGCGAGGAAAGTTGTTTTCACAACAAAGACGAGGTGTACAAGGATACATTATGGCGTGTAGCGTAGATAAAGAGGATATAGATTTAAGTAAGATCTAGTGTTTTTATTTGTATTAGTAATGAAAAGGAATCAAAACGATAGTGTAGGCAGTAGCTGTGTGTGTTTTTACACACAAAGAGTGAAATAATCGTACAAGTAATTTGTGAAAAGGAAAAGAAAACAAATATATAAAGTTAAATAAGAAGTGCGTTCCCATGTTCTAAGGTTGATTCGAATGCTCCCACTCTTGAGGAAAACTATTTCCTTTAGGAGTATTGACGTTTTACTACCATTTGCGTTCAAGCTTGCGGCGTGCGATTTTAAAACGTACGTTTCACGTTTCAAAACGTAGGTTTAACGTTTCAAAACGTTACGTTTGCCATTTCAAAACGTACGTTTTGTTACGCCCCCTGCCATGTTTAGACAATGAAATTGACATGTTTTTGAAGTTCAAACGAACTTAGCTAATATCCAAAAATAGGTTTATTACATTTGTAACGTTTGCGGAAGTGTTTTACAAGAATTACAAATGGAACCTTATTCTGTGAGAAAAGTAAACTTATATATGCGCAATTTTCTCTTTTCAAATAGCTGCATTCAGTATTTTAAAACCGTATTTACAAATAACCCAAACATGAAAGGGGGCGTGACAAAACGTACGTTTTGAAACGGCAAACCTACGTTTTGAAACGTGAAACGTACGTTTTAAAATCGCACGCCGCAAGCTTGAACGCAAATGGTAGTATTTGGGTTGAATGATAGAAAACTGAGATATAAAACAATCGACAGACATTGACTGACATCCTATGATGTTGATCCACTATAATACAGGTAACATGGCGTAACCGAAGACAAGCACGACTCGTTGCCATGGTAATCATTTACTTTAAAGTGCAAAATGTAAATGGCGGACAAAACAAAAAAATTAAATTGTGTTTTTGTCGTTTTATTGCGATCTTCAGTTGTTTTCCGTTGAATAAAGACTATTTTCGGATAAAGAATTACGAGGTGGTGTATTTTAATTTCTTCTCAAAGTGGTACTGTACGAGATGAACAGACAATTGTCGAATAAACCATCCAAGAAAGATCGACCACGTTCAACAGGTAAAACTGAAGAGTTTACGATTTTAGTAGAAGTGAAGATAAATCGTTGTTTGGTTCCTCTAGAGGAAAGATTGTTAACAGCTTTGCTCATTTGACAGGTCAAATACGTGGCTGTTTGTCGATTAATGGAAATGGTTTCATGTTTTGTAGATAAATCGGTGAAGGCTAAGAAGAAAGGTGACCAAACACCTGAGAAAGTTCCAACTCCTGTCCCATCGTCAGCCGGAGTGGCAGATGAAGCAGGGCAGGGAAATCAAGCAATCAACAATGTTCTCTCTGGAGAAGATATTGACTCACTCGCTGTGAATATTGAAGAACTACAAAAGGTTTGAATTTAATTTAATTCAACTAGCTTACCACCATTTATCTATCCTTATACGGCGAGATTATCTACTTCTCCTGCTTTATTAGACAAAGAAAAATGACAAATTACTATCGCTGGGACTACACCATTTCTTTTCACCATGCTGTTGTTTTAATATGTGCCACTGTCATTTATAGAACAGGCCGCCAAAACGTCCCGTAACTGAGAAGTCATCTCGTCAAGTAACGGTGAGAAAATCTGTCAAGATGAAAGATCTGTCTAATGCTCAAACAAAGAATGGAAAAATGTAAATTGTGTTTTTATTTTAAGTATTATCTGCAGTGAAGTAACTTATGTTTGAAGTATCAATTGTTTCAATAAACGTTCTAGTGTTACTGTGGCCCATCCTGCAAATGAAGATCCTGAATTTGACAGTTATAAAAAATTAGGTATGCATTTTCATTCTAAACTTGAAGACACAAATTATGTATGGTGCTCAAAAGTATGGGTACCTAGAAAGTTAATTTTGGCAATAACTTTAGAGAGCAAAGATCCTTGCATTGATGACCTTACTCCCTTCTTTGAACATCATATTCTTGGAACCTTGCAAGAATTCAGAGAGCAAAATGAGAAGAGTCTTCAGTCCAAGGTGACTGAATTAACAATAGCAATATAATCAATTAACAATTATTGTATAACCACTAGCATTGCTGTTTCAAATCACAATTTTTTTTAAAAATTTCTTGTTCTAGAAAATTCCAATGTCACAAAATGAAAAGGTATGCATTTTGGAAAACATTTAGAAGGCATGCATCACAGAATGTAATTTGTAGTGGATGTAATGTAATTTTTTAGCCTTTATCTTGTTTTTTTCTTATTTTTCTTTTTTTTATTGATCAGAGCCATGTTCCAGCTCCGGCAACCAAAATAATCAAAGGAAGGACCTTTCCATCCCACATCTATAAGCCAAATGTAAGATTTTTTTCTACATACCAATTAATATTTCATTTAGCACTTCAAATAAACACATTTGTCTTCCGAATGCTCAATTTTAATCTGAACTATGATTCTTGTATACATATGATAATAAGGAATATGTTGTAGCATGTATTAAATATTTTGCTCATGGATTTAACCATGCAAGCAGTAAAATTTCTTGATAATTAATGTTTTAGTTATAATAAAATAAGTTATATTTAAGATGTTATCTTTTAATCAAATTATATAGATGGATCAGTCAAATGCTTTGACCAATTGGGAGAGGCAGATGTCAAAAAGAAGAAAACAACAAGGCAATTTAGCTAGTGAGTAGTTGTTTTGATGTTGTACTGAAACATCACTAAGTTTTTACTAGCATATTACTTTAGTTCACAACAGCTAGCTGTCATAACGAATCTTAAGAAAATATTACAATTTAGGATTGCTACATACGTCGACAGAAATGCTAGGAATGAATCAGAATGAAGAGTATCGTACAACCCAAGAAGAAAGGTTAATTAATTGATAACAATATTTATCAACAATAGAATTTATATACACTAAAACATGGATTACTGTGAATTTACAATCATTCAGTCTTGCTGTATGTTTCCTGTCCTTTTAGGCATTTGATTGACAGGAGTATTCATGCAAAAGATTATGGTAAAGGATGTAAGTTTGAAATACCTTTCCACAGCAATATAATTCATCATTACAAACATTCAGATATCATGCAACTATAGCTGTTCTTTACAAACATTTTCAGATCGAATTGGAAGTGAATTTTGGAAGCAGGCAGAACTGATAGGCGATGATGATACTGGAATTCAGTACGGAATTAGCTTATATGTTAGAGCATAATAGAAATAATAATTTATTGTCCAGCACTCTCTGATAAATAAACCACTGTTTTTTACAGCATGACGCTGACACAAACTGAACGAGGTTATCCACCAGTGGTTGAACATGTTGCTAAACCGATTACGGTTAGAAAGGAGATGGGTAAGTCTTGGGCCATACACATGGGAGTTGTAGAGGTGTCTTGATTGCTAAATCATTATCTTCTTCAAGGTTTTGACTGGTCAGATACTGAGTCATACCGAAGCACATTGATCCATCATCCCTGGCGAAAATCTGAGTATCTTCACCAACGCAAAGAGGAACTTAGAGACCTTATTGAAGAACTTTGTCCACATAAACCAGTATGTTATATTATGACTATGATCCAGCTATAGAAAAACCTAGCTTCCAAATCATACTCTTGGCAACATAAGCGATTCAATAAAAGTAATTTTGTTATCATCCTATAGTATCTTCAAGAACTGGAAGTAGTTGGTCAATCAGTGGACAATGAAAATATCACTTTAACAAACAATCAAGACAGTCCTACAACAAAAATGGATTCTGTTACAACACTGATCGATAAAATTTCTCAGGATGAAATGTAAGCCATCTTAGAGAAGAGATTATTAGAGAGGTTCCATATTGGAGAGATATTCACACTAGTAGGTGTCCATATTAGAGAGGTCTAGCTTAGAAAGGTTCCCATAAGTTAGAGAGGTGTCTGCATTTAAGAGAGGTCTCCATATTAGAAGGGTTCCCATGTTAGAAAGGTTCCCATGTTGGAGAGGTGTCCACATTAGAGAGGTGTCCATGCATATGTGATAATATTAGAGAGGTGTCCATAGTAGAAGGGTTCCCATGTTAGAAAGGTTTCCATGTTAGAGAGCTAGGCGTCCATATTAGAGAGGTGTTCATATTAAAAAGGTAGAGGTGTAAAGATAGAGAAGTAGCTATATTGAAACTTGTTCTATTGAGAGGTGATATTTTACGCAACATTTATAATTTCCAGCGATCCTCTATCAATGCATCCAGATATTTATCCTCAGCCAATCTTCGGTCCATCGTTAATGATCGCAGGTCGTTCAGCTGCGTGGAATGGCTCAACAAACAACAGAGTCGGCGAGATAGGTGTGTCATGCAGGGTCGTTTTAGAGAGCAAGGTCAAAGAAAGAGTCGTGTCTATTTTGGAAGTCCAAAATAACGGAAGCGCAGCCGTTTATTATTCGTGGAAGGTAAGAAAACTTTTTATCTATCAGTAGCTATTTTGCAATCTCTAAACCTTCTCTGAATCTTCAAACACTTTTTCGTTTAGTATGTGCCAATGGAAAATACACTTGGCACAAGTTTGGCTGGACAAGAACAAAGATTCTATTTTGATAAAAACAGCGGTGAGTTTGAAATGTGGAGTGTGAGCGCTCTTCCTTCCCCACGCCCCCGCCCCCTTCCTTCCTTTCCCCACACCCCCTTCCTTCCTTCCCCCACACCCCCTTCCTTCCTTTCCCCACACCCCCGCCCCCTTCCTTCCTTCCTTCCCCCACGACCCCGCCCCGCCTTTCCCTCCTCTTGAAGTTAAACCTGTGGTTACCTTCTTCAGGTGTCATTCTTCCTGGCGATACTTTGAGATTTCCGTTCACATTCAAATCAACCAATCCCGGAATGTTCAGCGAACAATGGCAACTGGACACACAACCCGTTCTCAATGGCGGAGCGGCTATCCGAGTCCTGCTAAAAGGACTGGCCCTACAGGATGACCTAAATGCGGAAAAACGAGCAGCGCTCGAAGTGGAGCTTGGTCAGCGGCAAGCAAGACAGATCGTTCAAAGTATCTTAAATGAGATGCTGGATTGTGTTCGTACTCCAGAGAGGCCGTGCAGCCCTATAGATGCATATCTTACGGTATGTTTAAGAGAGTATGCCGTACGTGATAAACAACCTCGTACCCAGGGTCTTTACTCGTGGGGGGAGTAAAGACCCTGGGTACGAGGTTGCGTGATAAAGGGGTGTCGATTATAGAGATATCTAGACTCAGGTGATTGTATTTGAGATGTAGCTAACTGTATTAGAGACTAACCGTATTAAACTGAGAGGTGACTATCTGAAGTTGATAATATAAAGTATATAGTAATTAAACGAACGCAAGTATTGCAGCCTCTCTCTCTGAGCTCCTATTTTCATTCTGTTTCTTCAACTGAAATGTTCATATTTCATATTCAGGACGAAGAGCTTTTCGCACGAAAAAATCCAGAGGTAATCCCTCGATAAGTGCTTCATTGAAATATCATGTTTTTTATCTGCTTCCTTTACTGAAATATTCATCCATGGTTAGGTGTTTTACGATGAGGAGATTGTCAAAGAATTGAAACAGTTGTATAATGATATCGACCCGGAAGGTGATTGGGATCTTAGCTTGCTCTCCCTGCGTCAGGTATGTACTGTAATGAATGAAATGATTTTGAATAAGATAGCCCAGTATCATCTCTTGTCTATCTTGATATCCTTGCGTTAAATGCCTTTTTACTCTTTCTTGCTGCTTTCCTCTTTTGGCCGATGTGGACGAGTAATTAGTTGCGAATGCCCATCTAAATTTTCGATATGTTTAAAATTTATAGCTCATCACAGCACACACATACGACGACGATGAAAGAATGGATGGATATCTGTGCAGATTGAATGAACACGTTAATAAACTATCCTTTCCTCCACGAATTCCTAATAATGAAGAGATGTACTCTACCTGGTGGGTGCTGCGTTTTGCTTGCTGCTTTTTTCACTAAATATTGGATGCAACAATGCAAACTAAGGCCCAATTACTCTTTTAGAATTGAATACGTTTTTTGAATGTGTACATGGTGGTACCGTATTCTGTGTGCAGTAAATGTTGGTCATTCGGTCATCTGGCGTCGTTTTGAGTTTCATTTTTTTTTCAAATTTTTCGCAGTTACACAATGTTATGTGATATGGTCGATCAGCTCGTTGCAAAGTCAAATGCAATGAGAACTTCACTGGGATTACCTGTCAAAGATATTGTAGAAGACTCATCTTTGGCAGCGGACGAAGGTAGACTACCCATCGTACAGTATTACTCTATTATCGTAATATGTCAGGCTGACAACGTCCCAGCCGTCTGGAATTTTGTTGATAATAAATTAACTTATTGCTATAGCACCTGACAAGAAGTCGAGAAAAACTGACCCTGGTCGCCTGAACGTGGACAAAAAAGACGGCAAGAAGGACAAGAAAGCCGGAGTAAGTCAGTTTCCAGTTCTATACCAAGTTTTGTGCCAAAACGGAACGTTGTGTAAATGAGTACGAGTCTTTTTGTTAACTAAAACATTGACTGACATTTTTGTTTATATTCATAGGAACGACCAGTTTCCACACAAAAGTTAAAAACACCAACTGACAAGACAAAGCCCACTGCCAGAGGTTCAGGTAACGCTGTACAGGCCCTGTTACACTTTGCAATTGCAAGCTTCAAATGCAATTCTACTTTTGAGAGATGTAATTTTTTTAACTATGGAACCCTAGCTTTCAGGGATGTGACAAACCCTTCAAACGAGTCAGCTTTGGGTGGGTGTATTTTGGACCGCCAACTTTTGACTACAGCCAGTAATCACCAACTTTTTCAATTAAAATGGCAATCCCAGTTATTATTGAGTTAAAAAACAGGGAGGGTTTAAAAACAGGGAGGGTTAAAAAACAGGGAGGGTTAAAAAACAGGGAGGGGGTGAATGATTGTTGATGTTGTATGCATACGCGCCTCTTTCTTGCAGGTACCTCGAGCGCACAAGCTAAGTTATCAACTGAGGATATTCATGAGACGGCTAACGTATGTATTTGCGCTATTATATCATCTATATGCTTCACATGCACGTTCAGACTGCAAGCCAAAACATTTTGATATCGCCGGCCAAAATCTTTGATGTTCAAATTAATTTTCAATTTCGAGTGAGTGGGAACTTATAATTGAAGACGTAGCTACGGATCTGTGCGCTGAGTCCAATCATTTGTGTTCGTTTATATGTAATTGTGATATCATCCTGGCAAATTTATAAGAAAAACAAGTATAAAATTTGTTTGTTTCGGTCGTCATCTATTCGCCTGAAGACAGCTGATTTTGTTCGAGTTTCTTCAAGGCAAGCTCCGCGGTAAACTGCTAGAATACTTTCCACTCTCATTCATCGACTTTTTTTCAGAACTTTGTCATGACAATATCAGACGCGTTATCACCAGCGCAGACTGTCAGTGTTGTTACAGAAGATTATTATAAAGAAAAACTATTCCTTCAGGTATGTGCCTGCAAGCGCATCTTCTAACCTGGAGAGACACAAAGCAAATCTTCTGCATATTTGGTTCTGTAGTTTTGACCACCTTTCATACTAGTAAAGGGAATGTAGGAGTTTTTTTTTGAGCGACTTAAATATTTGGCTCCTTTTCGATATTTATTTATCGATATCCTTTTTCTTTCTTTCTCAGGCATACGAAATCTTATGCGAAACTGTTGACAGAATTGCTGGAATATTTCAAGACATTCAAGTCAATTCAAGAACTGGAAAAGATTTTTGATTTTCTAGCTTCATAATCCAGGTTGTACGTAACCTCGACCAGGACGTTGCTGGGTTTTTCTCGCGTGTCGCTTGCCGATGGTTCGAAGACGGTGAGGAGTATTGACCTTTTCATAGCGACAGGATTAAGTCAAATAAAGAACAATACCATTCGACAAATGCTGTGGTGGTTTAGTGGGTTAAGACGTTGGTCGTTTTTACATAACATATAGCATATATATGTACGTTATAACATACAGTTGTTTGCATTTTAGACGCGAAAATAAATCATGAGCATTAAAGTCATTTTGTGAAATCTTTGCAAATCTTTGTGTTATTTTTGCTCAACGGCGGCTATTCGCGTGAAAAAAATGGAAATTACTTGAAAAATGTTGACGTCATCGCTTTACGTAAGAAAATAATGGCCGCCCAATGTTTTCATCAGAATGAAACCATTTCGAAATAAAATTTTGCCATTTTTGACTCATTGAAAAGCGCTGTTGCCGTGAAAGACTCGGAAATGGGAGCGAAGCCATCTTCTATAAATGAACTAAAGGAAAACGTTCTTCTGAAGCGCCTTGTAGGAACCGAAAGTATCGCGAAAGGGGTCAATTTTGGGAGGAACTGCTCGCGTTCAGTTTTGCAAATATATACAGCATGTGAGTGTTGATAACTGTTCAAACAGACTGTTATGTTTAATCATATGGATGAGAAACAAGTGAAACCTTTCTGTGTATCACGTATATTGATTTAAGTCCGACAGAAAGGAATCATATGGATTAATCAAAGGAATCTACACAATATTATATAGACGTTTCTAAACACTCCGAGAGTTCGGGGACAGTTGTTGTTATTATTTAATAATCGATGGAAAAATTGTTGAACACATTCTTTTTTTCTGTAGATCCGATGCTAAATTGCTGGAAATAGCAACAGAACAACTCTGTTTAAATCTAGGTATTGTTTGCATAGTAGTATAAATGCATTGTAGTATTATTGTTTTGATAATTTGTCATTCAGAGTCGTATTAGATTGCAAGTGTTCAGAAGAAAGGTTTTGTCTAATGTATTTCGATGTCTATTATTCTTGAATGAACGAAGGAATCAAACAACTCCAATACTCTTATCTTAACATATCAATAGAGATGGGTACTCCAGGGTAATTTCAATTCTGAATTCACAGAGTAGTATTGGTGATAGTGTGTGGTGGACCTGGGGCAACAAGCGGCAGTTTTAGGGATGCAAGCAAAGTGCTTGTGCCATGAATGTTGTAACATTGTTAGAACAAATAAGAAGGGAATAAAAAGTTTCCATTTCAGTGTTTTCTGAAAGATTTTTGTTTGATTGCAGCTCGGAACAATTTACAAACTGGAAATTTTATCACGCTGGTTGAGTTGTGTCAGAGGAAAGTTGAAGAATTGAGGAAATGCGATGGAAAGATTGAGTATGTTATATTCAATGATTGAAGATGAGTTTTGGGATACAAATTAATTAAATGTTTTTTTTTGAATTTTGTGTAGTACTTCGTTGTGTTGGGAAGTGTTCAATTGCTTGTTGTTGATTCGAAGTTTTGTGAAATATTTCATTGAACATTCAAGAGAGGAGGATTTGTTTGTTCATTTTGGAGGATTTACTTTGGCCCAGGCATCAAAACTTCAAAGAGGTTTGCATTCTTTGAAGCTCGTCCATTGGTTAATTATTCACACACTAATCAATAAAAATTCCTTATGCAGAAATAGAATACTGAATAGGTGAAAGTATTTTTTTATATTTAGGAAAGCTGGCCGGTCAGGTCTCTCAAGAAATTCAAAGATCGCCTGACAATAGTAAATTTCAAGGTACTAAATTATTGTAGTGGGGTTGTAAGCGGTACTGGAACATCAAGGTGTTTCCCTCCCCCTGCCAGAAAAGCATGTGAAGATTGCATGGGGTTAGATGTAGAAGAGTTATATAAACAGATTTGGTGCCAAATTCATTTCTCTAGAGTGTGGTCTTCTGGATGACTTTATTGATACATTGGTTGAAATACTAACAGAAATTCCATATAGGTAAAAATAACATGTGTTGAATACTGTTTCTTTCAATGATACTGCAGATGGTTACTGTGCAGATTTCAGGATGTGATATTATTTTGTTGTGTTTTCTAGTGACGAAACATATGCTTTGTTGCTGGAGGCAATAAACACGCTGATCATATTCCTTTCTGTACAAATGTTTGATCCGGATGCCTCCTCAAACAGTGTCATCTATCAAATTGTCATGAATGGAAAGTGGTAAGATGGTTTGACATCACCAAATAATGGTCTTCAATTCAGCTCTTAAGAAGAAATATAAATACTTTCCCATGTCTCTAAAGATACGGTTATAGAAACACGCGTGTACGCAATTGTACCTATTTTTAGCATTTCCTCAAAAACATACCTCATAATGCATTAAATTCCTCAAATATCAGATTTTCTGAAGTTTTTTCTCCGAACGTGTAGCTCAAAAAGAAGTGACAAGTTAGTGATGAAACTCCTAAGACACTACATCAAACAGCAACCTTTACCAGATGAATTGAAGTCTGTTCGCGGAAAAGGACTTATAGGTAAGTAACTGAAGAGTTTCCCTTCATATTTATTGAGTAAAAAACTTTGTCATTTGGTCCAATGCCCCTCTCGATAGCTCCTTGTCAAAACGATATGGTCAAGCACAACTATTTTCACTTAAAAATATGCATCGAAATGATCTTAAGTTGTTTTCTTACCATGATTTGAAAGAGCGTCCTAATTTAGTTAACTCGAAAGTTTGCCAGTAGAATATTGTGAAATGAAGAAAATACATCCCTCTAAAGTTGGAGACTTTATTGGGTGTATATTGTCTAATGTGAAGTGCGTCATTTTTGAAGGAACGTTAATGTCGTGGTTTGGTAGCGAAGAAGAAACAGTGGAACAAGACGACGCATTGCTTGCAAATCAAAGTTTATTGCTTCTTCTGATCTTGGTAAATCATTGCACTCAAGAAAAGAAATTAAATCTATATCGCCTGGCATTGTTTACGTTCACCAACTCGAAACCAAAAGGTTGGTTTGATTCTATTGAGTTGCCCCCAAAAGTGCCCGCACTATCAACTGAAGCCGTACGGAATTGGGAGCAACTGCAGGCTCCAGTTTTATACATGGCAAACCTGTAAACAATATAATACTGTTCAGATTTAACTACCACAAGCATTGAGGGTACATTAAGCGAATGCGATAACTCTATCAGATTAACCAATCACCCACAAGCGTGGATAGGCATAGCGGTAGTAACAGTGGAAGTCAAATTCATGCATGCCTTTGTGTTGTTAGGCGGCACCTCGTCCGAGGATACCGAACAAGCGTCCTTTTATATGAATGCTGGAGTACTTTACACCACTCTATGCAGGTAAATCTTTTTGTTTACGAACCTACGACATTTTATATCAGCAGGGATGGATTTGATTTGGGGGGATTGTTTAACTCTCTCTTTCTCCCAAATAATGCTTATTTTGATAAAATGTTTCCAATCTATAGTCAACTGCACACAGATCAAACGACATTGCTGTTATATCTGTTGCTGCATCGTAATCCTACGATAGCCTCGTATCTTCTGTCGCGAACCGACATCGATAATTTGGTAAGCAATGAACTTGGCCGCTTAATATCTACCGCGGTTGAGAGACTATACGCTGTTGCACGATGTCAAAGTTTTGACGTAGATGATCACACGATCCAATTTTCTAGGATCCAATTCACTTCTGACATATGAAATATAGTCGGTTATTGATGAAGCTGTGGTACATTGTGTTAAGTTTTTAGTGGATTTGCTGCTGATATACATTACAAGACAACGGACTATAAAACATCCATCAGAAGTGAATTGAATCGAACAAAATTGGATCGTGAGAACAGACCTTTATATCATTAAAGTTTGTTTGAATCGGGCCAACTCGCCGCAGCTTGAACGTATATAAATCTTAGACCAAATATTTCCTTTGATTTAGGTCATTCCTATTTTAAAACTGTTGTATACAGCCGAGGAGCAAAACTCGCATCACATTTATATGGCGTTGATCGTTTTATTAATTTTGAGTCAAGACGAGAATTTCAACAAATCCGTACATGAAGTGGTAGGAGTTAAAATTCCCGCTGAGTTTTCAGAAATTCCACAGCAAAGAAAGATATAGGAGATATTTGTTATTCTTGCTTTCAGGTTTTACCAGAGGTTCCCTGGTTTACGGATCGTGTTGTGAATAACATCACGTTAGGAGGAATGCTTGTCCTGGTGGTCCATAAGAACGATACAATATAATATGACTAAGATGAGGGTTAGTGTTTTCCCCTGATTCATGCTGTTTGTTGGTTTTTTGTTTCATCCCCCCCCCCCCCCCTCTGTTTTTGACGTTTTTCTAACTCTCTTTCCGATTTTTAGGACAAATACCTTCATACGAATTGTCTTGCAGCCTTGGCGAATATGTCGGCACAATTCCATGCCTTGCACCCGTACGTCACCCAACGACTTGTCAGGTGAATAAAACAATGTGTCTTTTCTGACACCAGTGTTGTGTTTCTCGTTCGTTTACACTTATGCAAGTTCGCTTCTGTTATCAACAGCCTGTACGCAGTTTTGGCGAAAAAACATGGCCGCGTGCAAGAGCAGATCAAGCAGGCTGAGCAAAATCCCCACCAGGTCATGCAGGAAGATTTTCCGCAAGATTTTGTAAGTTTTTTAGCAAACTAAGCAAGACGACAATCATGATTCATGCGACGATCGTCTGATATAAATTTACTGTTTTAAACTACGTGTATTTCTATGTGTTTCACAGGTTTCCGACTTGGCAATCCTTGAAGAAGTGATTCGAATGGTTCTGGAGATAATAAACTCGTGTCTTACAAACACGCTCCATCATAACCCGAATCTTGTGTACACTTTACTGCACAGGCGAGAGTTGTTTGCACAGTTCAGGACACACCCGACGTTTCACGATATTATTCAAAACATCGACACGGTAAGATACCTTTCGAGGTCCATAAAGATGTTCAGCGTGAAGTTCATTCCTACATTCAAAGATCCCGCCATATTTCTTCTTCTCAAAGGTTCTGGCGTTCTTCAGTGCTCGTCTCGAGCAACATCCGGAGCAGACGTTGTCAGTTCAGGTCGTACTGGATGTTATCAAACAGGGCACACTACAATGGCCAAGAGATAGACTCAAGGTTGGTTTCTTAATTTTTCCACCAACACCCCCCCCCTTTGGGTTAATTTTTCCATTTACACCCCCCCCCCATTGGATGGGCTTTGTTCATCAACATTCAAATTTGTATTTTTTTATTTAGAAATTCCCTGAACTGAAGTTCAAATATGTGGAAGAGGAGCAACCGGAGGAATTCTTTATTCCTTACGTTTGGTCGCTGGTTTACAAATCTGCTAAGTTATACTGGAATCCTGAACGAGTACAGCTTTTCCATCCAGGAACATAGCCGCCGGCTAAATCTGTTGTTGTTTGCACTGACAATGAACAGCTGCGGATAACCAGATTTATAGTTTATTCATTGTGGAGCCCTTGACGACCGCTGAACACATACTACTCAATACTCCGGAGCTGTCACTTTTATCTGCAAAATGTTACGCAAAGCGCGCAATATATGGTAATTGGTCGCAAATCAATCAATCACTAGAATCCACCTGTGAATTTCGACGGTCGAGAACCCTGCGAATAGCGGTTTTACGCCGGCGAAGACAAAATATGTTTAGAAGCAAAAGACGTAGAATGTTTGATACTGATAAGGACGATATACGGGATTGTAAGAACTGGAACGTTTCCCACAACATAATAATGTACAGGAATTAGAATGTAGAAAATATGGTCATATTTTGTAAGGAATATATTTTAACGACGTAGGAAATTGCAAAAATAACTGGGACAGGTTGTATAAAACTCTTTAACTCCATTTTGCATAGTTAAATTCTAGTTAACTCAGAAATACACGAATCGACTTGCAAATTCTGTCCCTAACTACAGTAGAAAGTTAACTAGTCTTTTAAGTATATAACTGGCCCCTGGTGTATTGAATGGACATTAGAACAAATGGTATTTCAATAATATTCGTTTCGTTTTGCCACCTCTGAAGGCTAGTTTCCACTCAGGAAAATTCTCCTTTGGATCGGACAGGACAGGAAAGATTCCTTTGTATAAACGCCGCCTGAGAACTCACCGACAAAGGAAATTTTCCTGTCCGTTCCGATCCAAAGGAGATTTTTCCTGAGTGGAAACTAGCCTTGATTGAGATTGACACCAGTGACACACGTGAGCGCACGTCACGTGCAAAATGTGACATTCGACTGACCCGAGGGCGAAGAAGAAGTCGCAATTTGGCACTTTAAATTTTAGAACTTTCAAAGCAGGTGCAAGATTTTGTTGAAAATTTGTTATTTTTCGTCGTGAAAACGTTCAACATGAATGCCATATTACACCAAAGATTGTGAAAGAACTTCAAATAAGGTTTGTGGTGTATTTTAAATCGTTATCTGTGTAGAAAGATGTGAATGTATTATTGATTTATGCATGGCTCGATCGGGACAGCAACGTTGATTTGACCGTTATTTCGAAGTTTTATCAGTTAACATTATCTTGTCGGTAAAAAGCGGTTAATTTCAAGTGTCATTTGCAGCTTTTATGTGTCTTGTTGATTTATGTTCGCTTGTTAAAAGAAAAGGAGATTTATATTGATGATTTTTTTTAGTTAAACAAGGGTGCTTCTGTTCATAACGTGATCGGTAATTCGACCATGTTGTTGTGAGCGGCTTCTTGTACGTTGTGTTTGATAATGGTAAACAACCCCGAAATATTATCGCGCGTATTGAGCGGCTTGTAAAATCCAGGGCAATTATTGATTTAAGTGTGCTGTTAAAAGAAAGGGAGATTTATATTGTGATTTTTTTAGTTAACAAGGGTCCTTCGTACGACGGGATCGGTCAGTAATTCGACCATGTTGTTGTAAGCTTCTTTGTAGGTTGGCTTAAAAAGATTGTAAACAACCCTAAATACTATCGCCCGCGTTCAGCGCAATGTTAAATATTAAATTGGTTATATCAGAAAGTGAATAGCTTCTTTTTCGTGAGTGAGCCTAATAAAACATTTGAGAGATCTAGATTTTGCACAAGTGTTCTATAAATAATAAAGATTAATGACCTTAAATACCTTTCTAGTGCATACCACACTCAGTGGTAAGTTGACTAAAATTGTTTATCGCTGGTACCATATTTGCATTGTCAGATATTACAGATGTAAAGGTTAAGTGTAGATGCCAATGTTTGCAGATGCATTATCATTTCCAAGAAGAGACTGATCAAGTAATCATCAAGGTCATATTTTAATAAACTTCAAAACCATGAAATTTAAATGTAGGATTATTTTAATGTGTCTGAAATGCAGAATAATGCCTGCTTATTTGGTTTGGTCTCACAATTCTGATGCGAACTATCATGTCTTGTATGTGCTGTGTTACTATGGTCGACAGTTTTCAACAAGATTTCATTTAGATTGCTCAAGTTTCTACAGTTGCTAAGTGCTTGTGTGGGACAATGACATACTTTGCAGTCTGCCTGTATGCAAATCATTCTGTATTGATTAATTTTTGATTTGATTATATTTACCTATTAGCTATGATGGAAGCTATGTAGGTTAGTTATGATGAAATAAAAAAAAAACACTTGTCAGAAGAATGTGATGTAAATTTAAACCTTAAACATTTCACCTCGAAGAAACTCTACAGGATAACAATGGCCACTCAGACATACTGCAGAAAGCGTAATTTGATCTTGGATTAAACCTTGAAATCAAAATTAATGGCCAACATACATAAGTGCATTGGGTTATTAGGTTAGATTAAATCTTTTAGCAACCTGGTTAAATATAGCTCTTTTAGACATGCACCTAATTTATTCATGATGCTAGACATGATTGCAAGATAAGTAGAACATAATTAAGAGATTTCAATTGAGGCTAAAAACTAACATATGGTTCAAATAAAAGAGGTATGTATATATCCATGCATATATATATACACACAATTTGGGTACAGTTGACACAATATATTAACAGCATGATTATGAAACTACCACTTATATCAAGGCTTTGCAGATTTTCAAGCCATTTGTCAGACAATGTAAATAGTTTGAGGCATGTAATATTGTTTCGCTTGCAAAAGATTTTAGCTGACTAGACAAGTATTTTGCATGTAATATAAATTATTTTAAGAAATGAACATTTCTGTGCGATTGTGATTACGTATTTTCAATACGTATTTGACGTATTTTCAATGATGCAAAGCTTTCGGTCCGTCAACCCGCGTCTTCGTCTTTGCAAAAGTGTATTTTGTCTGCACACAAAATGACAGATATCTTTCTGGAGCCGGTAGTATGAAAGCCGGATAGCGCTATCCACCAGATAGTGGCTTTTTCAATCGCTCATTAAAACCGTTTTTTGGCACTGATAACTTTAATTAAATCTTAGCATTCCTAAATCCCTGAGGATCCTCTTTAATAATTGTTGTTTCCAAAGCTGAAATTTAAAAAAATCCTAGCGCCATCCGGCTTTCATGCAACCTGCCCCTGATCAACTGCCACCTTCTCTCTTTAAGTCTTCACTACGAACATATAACAGGCATTAACAGCGCTTTGTACCCCGGCATCATAAGTCCTCTTCTTTCGAGTGCTGGTACTCTAATTTCATTATACATGCCGCTCCTCATCGACACTGCCACACACTGCCACTGCTCTCTAGTTCCTAAGTTGTCCTCGGTCCAGTATTCGCTTATAATTAAACTTGGCGCGAACACCTCCACTCCAGACTATACTACGTACCACCGGTATAATTGATGATGTCATGTTGGAATGTCAAACGCTCTTGACTTCGCGTTACAGTCTGTGAGTTGGGCGTCAAAATGCCGAGTTTTCGTTGATATTGTATGGAGGACTTGAGTGTTTATTTCAGACTGTGGGCTTTTTTACATTTTTTCTACTCCCACAATTGCCTTTGTGAATGTGCCTGTTTCTTTGTCCAAAAATGATCCCCGCCTTCCTGTTTTATCTTCCTGGCAGCCATTTAGAGTTTCTTTGTCTTCGACAACAGTAAAAGACAACTGGCGAAGCGAGATTGATCGCTGACTTGTTTTTTGAAGAGTTTTGTGGCTTGACACCATAGTTTCACAATTTTTGACGTCGATTTACTTCTCTTGGTGTATGCTATTATGTAAATTTAACAGAGTATGTTACTTTACTTCGCCCAGCTTATAGAAGTGCATGTATAATTCGCACAATAACATCGCCATTTATGAAAGACAAAATCGCCGATGAAATTGGCCCTTGTAGACGCGGCTTAATCCTTCAAACAACCATATATCATTTGTGTATATTATATGGACAAATAGAATAATATGTATATTATATGGATGAATATACTTTGTTTTCCTCTGGCTTTTGTTTGTTACCATTCAACAGTTGTCAACACTCGCCTTCCCCAGAAATATCGGCCTGTGATTTTTGCCTAAAACGTTTTAACATTGTATATGCTATGTCCAGGACGGTTAATTCTTGCGACGACGTGTTTGTATTTTGCGGTCAATGGTTTTGCTGTTGGTTTTTTTTAAACATGTTCCATGCAGGAATGTAGCGCGCGATGACTCGGAAAGACTCATAAAAAAAATAGTGAAGAAAGATGGAGATTTGAATAGTCGGCATATGCAACTTCTTCTGAAGATAAGCTCCTCATAAGCGAGGTCAACGACAAGTTACGAGGATTCTTGGCATTTTTTTTAGTTTCCCCATTTAACAATCCAGACAAAGGAAGAACACTTTACATTCCTGTTTAATATTCAAACAATGACTAGACAAGTACTTGGCGCTAAGAGCCTTCTTGTGCGTCATGTCATTTAAAAGAGAAGCGATGAAGTCTCCAAACTGGCGCCAAATGCATTATTGCTGAAATACCACTAAACGTGCCTGTGTTTGAAGCAAACATCTCCTGTGATTACAAGGGAGCTTGGGAAAGTTCAAACACGCCGTGTCGTGCTATATAAATGAGCTCCATATTATTATACCGTACAAGTGCAGTTGCGTCAGCTAAATTTAAGCATGTAAATTATTGATGTCTATATGACATCACAGCTCTTTAATATACTCGAGAGAATGGTTTGAATGTCTAGAGTGGCCGCCATTTTGCATTAACCGCCGACTTGTCTGGTGTTTGGCCGTGTGAAAAGTTTAAATAGACATGTATGGCCATGCGAAACTAATGGTTTCGACAGGTGTAAGGTCGTGTTATGCAGGCTTGATGCGTTTTGGGTCATGTGAATTAGATAGTTGTTGGGCGATGTAGAATAGTCTAAAAACAAAGTGTCTGGTTATGTCAAATAGTGAAGATAAGTGGTGGGTGATGTGAAATAGTCCGGATAGCTGTTGCGTTTTAAATTTTGTGGAATAGTCTGGATATAGATGTTGGATGATATGAAATTGATTAGCTGGGCGTTCAGTTTTGAGGAATGGTCTGGAAAGATGTTAGATGATATAAAATTGTTTGGATAGGGCTAGTATAGTAATCGGTGAAGAATTTTGGATAGATCATTGACATTGGCTTTGGCATGTTTACTTCAAGAAAGGAATAATTGTCCTTTGTCCTTTTCCCAACACTTAAGCATGAGAGTGAGATGAAAAGCTCCAATTTAGGAAATACGTCAACACTCTTCCGCATCGATAGTGATACGGTCTGAACCAGACTGAAATAACAACAATAGCATGATTATCATCGGACGATTATAAGGTTGATCGTATAAAAAGACGAACAGCTTATCACATGCAGTAACATCTTATGCGGTACTGCTCGCAAAACGAAGTTAAGTAAATTTTTCATCGATTTAAGTTCCAGCTTAATGTGCATGGTACTGGCTACAATGTCAGTCAGTAGCATCGTATATAATGGGCGGGAAAACCATTGTAAAAATAAAGAGTTCGTCTTCCGCATTGCTCTCTGACTCATGCAAATTCAATGGCAGTCTTTTGTTTATATTTTATGCTGAAACATCAAGTTCCTTTTCTCACTATTCTATATTCATAAAATCAATATTTGTGTCTGGGTTTTCTCTCAATGTTTGCTCATATGTTCTCATTAAAGAAGATTTGTTCAGCTAATGTTCCGCCAGACATACTTCGTTAGACAAAGAACCAGACAGTTTATTCAATATCATTTGTTAGGTAAATATATAGCTGAGAACAAAATTGAACACATTCAGTTGAAAATTACGACATCTCTGCCATCAGAAAAAAGGGGTTTTTTGTTGAATATTGGAAGTTGATCAACAACGTCATGCAAGAAGACGTTCCGTGTTTTGAAATATATCCTATCGTGTTGTAAAACGTGGCAAGATTCACGAACAAACAGTATTTATTTAGATCGTAAGCCTTCTGTACGATCCATATCGGCTCTTTTCACAGACACAAGTCACT